AGCTTCTAGCTAAGATTCGGCGTCGGTTTATAGCGGATTAATTAGGATTTGTATTTAGCCGCTACATTAACCTAGGACGAGGCACACTTTCGCATCCTTTTACTAGCTATATATACCGGCTATACTCCTAGTTTCATTCCCGCGTTATACCTAGATATAAGGTACGAAGTAGAAACCTAGCGCCTTATGTTTACTCGATTATTATAGAGACGAGCTATATTTAGACTAGTTTCTTGCCATATCCCGGCTTGCCTTAATAGTATTCGTAGTTTAACTATACTAAGAAGTAGAAGTATATATAACTAAAGAAGGGGAGAGATCGTTATTCGATCTAGGTATTATCGCTTACCGCTACTCGTATAGCTAGGATAACTAGGGAGGAGATCGATAGCACAAGTTAGTAGAGTCTAGCGACGACTCTACCTACGAGTCTAACGAAGAAGAACGTATAGCCCGTATAAGAGATTCTAAGATATATAGAAGCCTCGTCCTAAGATACTACCTCTACCTCCCTACTATACTTACCCGGTCGTATATAATATAGTCTTATAAGCGAAGTACGAGATAATATAGGCTCATAGTCGTTTAGAGTAACGTACTATATAAATAACTAGGCGTACTACTATTATTTACTAACGACCTATATCCTAGGATGCTCTTCTCGTATATTTTATATACTTTTTTAATATCTTACTTATAAGCGCTCCGCGACAACCGAGCAGACATAAGGTATAGGGGTTCCACTCGGTACCTTAGCCTTCGAGATAGGGGGGAGTTAAATCTAGAGGCATAGTCGGCACTCGGAGCCGGTATATAGAGACGGTAGTAGGCCTATTCCTACTAAATAGCTAACTTATTTAGTATAGCCTACCGTAGTATAGATATTTATTATATTTCCTAGTAATAGAGTTAGGTTACTTATAAGATTACTGTAGCTAGTACCTCTAGCCGGGTCTTTATACTAGATAGTTAGACTATATATAGTAGTATTATTACTATTAAAGTAGTAACTGCGGAAGATATCTAGATAGAATTTCCTACTAAATTTTACTACCTCTTTTGGAACCATACTAATACTATTTTAGCTATTGTCCTTATAGCTATCTACGTGAATCGCGTTACGACTATAGGTAAGGATTTTAAAGCCCTAGATTAGATTCTTAAGGGTTAGAATATCTAAATTCGAGATAGTAGTAGGTAGGATAGATATTCTAGTAGGATAGATATTCTTAGTATCCTCTATAAGCGTTTCTATATACAAAATATGCCGCTATTATACGGCGCTATATAGCGCGCGATAAATACTCTCTAAGTATATATATAGTATATTATGCTTTGTTAGACGTCCGAAATAAAAGTCTTCGAAAATTCTATTAGTACTAGTCTTAAAAAGGGCTTGCTTTAAGTTACGTATATATTCCTATACTTGTTAGAAACCGACTAATTCTATAGTTCTAACCTGCTACTCGTATAGTTGCTTAGCAAACTAACTTAAACTAACCTAGAATTTTGGCTTAGTAAACTAAACCAAACTAACCCGACCTACTATAGGGTATAGCAATGCTAGTACGCTAACCTGCGATAGTATATGATACTATCTTAGGCCGACTATAGTAAACGTTTATGGTACTGCTTAGGGTTGCCTAGTTGGCGGTAGCTGAATATTTTGGTTATAGTAAAACGTGCTTCTCTAGATACTATCGATATGCTACTCGTCTGCGCCGCGGACTATAGTAATAGCACGAGCCTTACTAGCGTCCTAGTCTAATACACTACAATTCGGAAATATAATATAGTCGGCGACCTTAGTATTAGCTAGAATTAGATCGTATAGCAGGTATACAAACTAGTCTTCTAGATATATACGATCGAGTAGCAAATCCTTGTTGTTAAACTAACCTGTAAAATCGAAATAGGCACTAGTAGTAGTGCGATTGCTACCGACTTTAAAGTAGTAGATATAAGTACTATTACCCTTCCCGGCCTACTAGTATAGAAAGCCGATTATCTCTAGGTTATAGCCTATACTGTCCTATTTAGTATAGGCGAGCGGGTAGGTAATACCTAGCTAAAGCACCTATATCTATACGATTAGCTATATATCTAGCTTGCTACGTTAAAAGTATAGCATAGTATTAGAGCAATTCGATACTAGTTAGAAACATACCTCGCCGACCTTAGTATACTAAACTAAAAAAGCGGGTTACTAGTAGATCCGTAGACTATACCCGATAGAATAGCACTATTAGCCGGAAAGCGGGTAAGTAGCGTATTATCTCCCGAGTAATACGAGACCCGATACTAGGCTACGCTAGAGATTAAGATATAGTTTAATATTAGTTAGTCGGTATATAGGCCTATACGGTAGTATATATATATATATATATATAAAAATCAAAATAGGGTAGTATTAAACTAGAGTACTACTACTTCTGTACGTTTGTGTGATTCAATATGTATAACGTATTCGATAGAACAGTATATAGGCCTTAGGGCATTATAAGATACGTACTAGCGCTAGTATATAGCTGACTTAAAAAGAATACCTAAACCTACTTTTTAAAGACTATACCTTTATTCCATTAACAGTAGGGGATAATAACGCCCTACTGCTATAGCTAAAGACTAGAGAATAGGTATAGTACTAGTAGTAGCATCTGTCCTATATAAAAAACCAGCCTACTAGTAACGCTATAGTATAATATCGATCGGTATCTCTATGTCTTTTAGACTAAAACTAGCAGTTATAAAATTCTAGGTATCTATACTAAAAAGGACCTACCCGCTATATACTAGTTTTAATTATTTTGATCTAGGTAACTTTACTAATATGGCCCCTATTATTTCAAACTTTCTATACTAATTCGTCTAAACTGTAGCTTCTACTACCTATAAATCCTAGTATATATATAATTATTGTTAGTTTCTAGCTGTTAGTACTTATTAGTACTAGTATAGCTTATATTATTCTTAGGATATAACCGCTAGCCTTTCGTTATCCCCCTTGTTTTTTAGTTAAGCTACCTTTGTTAGACTCTAGAAGCCTCGAAAGCAGTTACGATATTGTAAAGGGCGACCTATAGCTATAGCACGGCGTATACAGGAAGTTACGAGTGCGGAGAAGATTTAGCTGTAGTTAGATTTCAAGTCTAACTATAGCCGGGGCTTTCAACCAGTAGCTAGTTCTATGCTTATATACGTGCCTATATAGGCAATGATTATCCTATGTTTATCCTATGCCCGTGCCTATACCTATATCTATACCCTTATCCTATAAGGATGACGACGTTATAGTTCTTAGTATAGTTGCAGGTATCGGCACTAAGGTTGCAGTCTATTATAGGCGTTAGTATAGGCATTGCTATAGCCAAAGCTCTAGACTTACTCTTCTTGGCCTTCTTAGCCTAGCAACCTAAGCAAGGCACTATAGCCTCGGGGAACTCGGCACGGAACTCGCGGTTGGCCTTAGTTAGATCAATCTATATAGGCGTTAGTATAGGCAAAGGTATGTACGTAACTATTCATACCTTGCCGTGCTTGCCGCGCCGGACGACGAAGGGCCTATTTAAGTCAGTATATAACTAGCGGCATAGGCATAGATCGGCATATACACCTCGCTATTACTCTTAGACTTAGACTTAGACTTAGTCTCTAAGTCTTCGATTGTCTCGGCAGATTTGGCCGGTGCTTTGCCCTTAGCTTTGCCCTTGCTCGGTATACCTAGGGCGTCGGGGCTATATACAGATTAGTATAGGCAAAGGTAAGGGTAAAGATGTAGCTATACTTAACCTCGTATAGATCCTAGGCATTGTCGAAGAAATCTAAGGGACATATTAGTGAAAAGCTTTGCCTATAGAGCTGCTTAAACCTACTAATGCACTTTTTTGTCTTAGTCTTAGGCGTGTACCGACTACTACGGTCCTTCTCCTTAGGCTGCTCGACTTTTCCCTTATACTATATATGCGTTAGTATAGGCAAAGCTCTAGGCAGGGAGCTACGTACACTATAGATAATATATATAGCGAGAGCCGAAGTGTCGCGGTAGATAGTCTACAAGGTGTTAGCTTTAGGCATACGTATAGGCAAAGACAGAGTTATATACTATAGAAGCCCTTCTCTTCGTACAACTCCTTTAGTGTCTCTTCGTCTTCGTCTTTTCTATTATAGTGTTAGTAATAACTAGTAATATAGGCATAACACTGCATATACCTATCGCTATTCTTCTAGGCAGCTAGGAAGCGACCGAAGTTCTTAGATCCTACCGGTATACGACAAGTTACCTCACCTATATAGGTGCGTACGGCCTCCTAGTTAGTCTTTAGGTAGATCTATAGGCATTAGTTTGGCCTATTACATAGGTAGAAGAGAGATTATATACTACGATTTCTATCTTAGGCATATTAAATAACTCGCCCTATAAGAGGCGCTTCTTATATTTGCGGTAGGAGCTCTATATAGGCATAAGTATAGGCAGATGTATACTCTAGTCTCTATACTTATAGATTGCTCTAGTAGGGTATTGTTCTAGGCAACGGTCTTAATGTCTTACGGCATGTTAGGAGGTATATACAGAGCTATAGGCTTAGGTATAGTAGTATAGGGGAACTCGGTTAGCTACGACATCGAAGTCGCCTTGTTAGCTCGTCGCGTATATATATAGGTATATATAAAGGAATAGGGATAGGGGCTAGGGGTGGATACGTACTAGTAGTATATTATAGAAAGAAAGGAAGAGAGTATACGCGCAAAGATGCGCGTATAGATATCGCGTAACGCTTAGCGTAATAGAAGATCCTAGCGTAATGAAACTTTCGCGTACGGGACGTACCCGCTTTAGCGTCTACGGATCCCCACATCGATGGTCAACTCCGCGTTTAGCGTGGTCAAGCGCACTTGTCTCACTATTACGCCGCGGACTCAAGGTCTTCCTGCGCAGCTGAATGGGTACCCAAGAGCTCGTGGAAATCTCCAACTACATCACAATGAGCGAATCGCTTATTATTACAACACTTCAATTTCCATATATGCATGGTAGGACAACGTCTCCTTCCACCGCCTGCGATTTGACTCGGTATATCTCCTCATTATCAGCTCAGTTTCGTGAAGAAGCGTAGCATCAAGCTGCCGCCGAGAGCTGCGTTCCTGCGACTGCCATAAGAACTCACCACACAAGCCCATCCCATTCCATGGCGGAGCTAGGGGGAGCCCATTTCAACCAGGATACCCTGTTCGTCTCTCCAGACAATCTCGTGATTGATCATGACTTGAACAGCTGCTTCCAAGATACACGACGACAACAACGAGAGTCTCATTCTCATTCATATGGTGATCATCCTCCAGCTCAACAAGCTGAGTCTGGTATGCTGCCGCTTCCTCCACAAGACATGATCTTGATCATGTGCACATCGAAAATTGCTGATGACAGCAGCCGCAGCATTCGCCGAACAGCAGACACCGAACTTGAGCTTGCCCGTGCACAGTCTATCGGAGTGGCAAATACCAACCCAAGCCTCCTTCCGCCCCAATCTACCGCCAACGCCAATCTCTCCATTTCGACCTCTACGCACACTCACAGAAGACGACAGACACGCATTTCCTTGCCTAGGTGGTCCGGACAACTGCTGGAATATCTCGCTATGCCCGAAACATCGCCAGTACCCCGATACCCCCAGCTCCAGCTCCAGCTCCCGGCAATCGGAATCGTCTCAAACAAGTGCTGCACCGGGGCAATCGCAGCACGATCGACCCAGCAATTCCAGACGGCGCAGCTGTCCAACGGAATCCCAAGACCATGATCCCACCCGGCTGAAGATAAAACGCAATATGACCGATCCCGACGACGCTGAAGCACCACCCCAGCGACCGCCTCTTCTGTCCCGCTCCTCCCTCTCGCGAGGCCGTGTTCCGCACAATCTGGTCGAACGCCGGTATCGGGACAATCTGAATCACCAAATCGAAGCTCTCCGGCTCGTCCTCCCATCGCTAAAGGACGCGGTGCCTTCGGACGAGACATCTTTCGATCATCCTCGAATGCCATCGAAAGCTGTCGTGATCAGCACCGCGGCGACGTACATTAAAGACATGGAAAACGAGCGGCAAAGACTGATGGCTGCGAATGGTGCGTTGCAGGACCAAATTGGGAGTTTACAGAAGCTACTCCGGGGGAATGAGAGCTCTGTCGTGCAGTATATTAATGCTATGCGCTTGACGGGCGCTCATCAGTTGGCGACTCCGCCTTGAGGAATTTGGGGTGACTGATTGGAAGTAATTCGTGCTGGATAGCGAAGCGATATGGAGAATTTGGTGTCGTATCGGGAGCCTGCGTTTGAGGGCTCAGGGCCACTGGATGGCATTAGATTGTTGGGGTGCTTCGAGGCATTCTTGGTTTCAAAGTAGCATAGCCTGGCTGGCGTATATCTTATAGAAGAACTCGGCTCCAAAGCACCAACGTTGCGGTAATGCTTGAGGGGCACGAATTGCAGTGAAGTGTCCGAAGACCAGCTGAGATACCGATACGACTATAACATGGATATCCATAATTCTGCTACACCCCGAGTGCCGCCAACCCACTAGGTCAAAGGCCGAGACGCCTAGCTGGCAAAAGATGAACAATACAACGATCCATGTAAGAAAACTCCAATCGCGCCAGACAAGCCATAGATGGAAAATTAGGCCGAGGTGTGGTATAGAGCAGTATGTGATGGGTAAGGCCAGAAAGATCCAGATATGTGCCGCTGAAACGCTATCAAACAGAAAATCCGCTCCACAGCTCGTCCGTTCTCCTCTCTGTCGTGGATGGTGTAGCCGTGGCTGCGTCTGCGCGGTGTATGTGTGCTCATGTCCATTCCCGTCGTATGGCAATCGAAGCAGTAAGTATCGGTTTCGCAATATCACACAGTTGGAATCCTCTTTTAAGAATTCCGGATCGCTCCAATTCGAGAACTCTTCTTTTCATAAACAGTAAATGTACGAAATGGCGTTGGCTCGCCAGCCGTTAGTCTGCAAAATTTGCAGAAAGGAAAATGTTGTTTGGGATCGTGCTTGGAAAACGATGCGATTTTACATGATGACACAGCAGCAGCCTTTCTTTGGAGCTGCTTCCTGCTTCTCATCAAGTTCAGGTACTCGCAGGATTGCGTCGTGACCTTCGCCTTGCATTGGCACTTGAGGCGGTGCAGGCGATGGTGCTGCAGAGCGTGGCATGGTGGGTGTCGTGGGGATCGTCGGTGTAATCTTATATCCGCCACTTGTGCGAGGTCTCATGCTGCTAGAATCGCTCTTGCCAGCTTCGCTCCTCGCACTGAGCGGCCAGCCATTGCCGACAGTCGACCCGTTGGGCGACATCTTCTTGGGGGAGGGCGTTCTCGCAGGTGATAGGCGACCATTGACATCCCGATCAATGTGAAGTGTTAATGGTGCTGGGTTTTTAGGGCGCATGTCCTCCTCATTCAGCAAGTTGAAGTCCTTATCGTAGATTGTGCCAGTTTTGCCCTCCTTTTCCCATTTGTCTTGCATCATGCGCTTTGCGTGAGTCGGGAGCATTTGCTGATCAGGTGGTAATCTTGGGTCTGGCTTATACATGGTCGCAATCCATGGCGGATCTCCTTCTGGAGTGTATTGGCTTGTGGATGGACGTCCTGCACTAGACCCAGGACGTCTGGTAGCAGAAGCTGATGGAGCTCGAGGTTGGGGAATGGTCGAGGCCGTGGCAGAGCCTTTACGTGCCGTCGGAGCAACCTTCCTGGGCGACTTCGCCTTCCTTGGTGAACTCTCATCCGCAGATGAGCCTTTGTTCGAAGAGCTGCCTGGTGGTGTAGTTCGCTTCGATTCGGGGTCGTCCAGGAGAACAGCACTACCAATACTCCCACTCCGCGCTTTGCGCGCATACTGCTGCATCTCATCCCAACTGCCGCTGACACTCTGGCTGCCAGCTCGGCTCCGAGGAGCAGGAGAGTCTCTCTCTACGACTTGCTGAGGCACCGGAACAGGACTTACTCGTGACACTGGTATGCGAGACGTACTTGGTCGAGCATTTTGCGACTGTTTCTGAGGCGGAGGCTCAGGCATGGGTTCGTGATACTGGTAGGCAGGCTTTTCGGGCAGCTCTTCGCGCGCATCTTCGTATTGGGTCTCTGACCGAGACAGAAGCCTCGGGGGCTCCTCGGGCGGCGGGGAAGTGGCAGCAGAGGCAGGAGAGGCAACACGATTGAGGGTCTGCTCGTATTTCTGCTGAGACGGATAGGCTGCTGCATACTCCTCGTCGTGGCCGACATGAGTTACATGCTCCTGGGTTTGTCTACGAGACGCTGACCGACTCGTAGGACGACTGGTACGACCTTCTTCGCGTGCTGGCCCAGCACTTTGAGATCTTCGAGATGGCATCACGTAGATGCCAGCCTCGGCCATCTCCTGAATTTCAATCTGAGCCAGCTTGTCGCGATGGATCCATGCTGAATCGTCGCTGTAGTCGCCCGGCCGCCCCTGCTGCTGCTGAGTCGGCTTGTCCCTCAGTGCGTTCCGTGATCGCTTTCTGCCCGCAATGCTATTGTTGACACGCATCGACGTTCGCCGCACCTTGGTGGCTTCGGTGTCGCTCTGCAAGTCCCATGCACTGCTTCTGTGCTCCAGCGGCTTTGCACGCTTCTCTCTGCTTCTCTCGCCGGGCGCGTGCGCGCTGGAATCGGCCTTGTGCGACGGATAGGTCCTGGCATTGCCGTCGGTTTCCTCGAGCGGCACAGCGTAACTCCACGCACTGCCGTTCATCGTCACCGCCATGGTCGCCGGTAGCAATGACAGCCCGTCCCTGAGGTGAAATGAATCCCGTCCCACCGCGCGTTCCGATCGTCTCGACTGCAGCGGTGAGCTCGGCCGTGTTCACGCCGCAGACATTGCCCGCGTGTGCGAGGCCCGGATGGTCGTCGCCGTCGCGTTATGTAAGAATGACTCGGTGGTGGAATGGCGTGTGTGGTAGGCGGTTGTTTAGTTGGCAGTACTGCCATTCGCCAATTCCTTCAGGGAACGGAGGCACCTCGAACCTCACTCGATAAGATCCTTGGTATCCCCGTCAGGCACAATCGACCAGGTATTCGAGCACGCTCAGCGATCCTGGTAAAACACGCACAATCATATGCAGACACGCATCCTCACAGCAGCGAACGCGATTGAGGAGGCACGCACGCACTGGCACTGGCAAGCAAGCCAAGCGGCAGCTGGTGTCCTCGAATTCATTAATCAGAGTTGCAGGGCTCCTCCCTTAGCAGGAGACAGCCACCTATGAGAGGGCGCGGAGGCTCAAGCTTTCACACGCGCCTATCCCGTCCAACTAGTCGACAAATAGCTACAGGACAACGTTGATCTTTACAACGAAACCCGTCACCCCTTTCCCTCGCGCCTTCACCTCGCCGCCGCCATTCCTCTCGCCGCCGCCATTCCTCTCGCCGCTTCCTCATGCCCGCCTTCCAATGCCTCTTGACGCGCTGCCTGCGTCTGTGGAGCTCATACCACACCGATCGATGACGCCACACATGAAACTGGCAGCAGCCCTGGGATGTGGTGTTCATCAAGATGACATGGCCTGGAAGGACCGGCTAATGGTTTCACGAACACCCGCCCCTCCCGTTGCTGTCCGGCACGCGGACTCAGCGGGCCGAAGACCGTTGTGGCCTCGAACGAGTAGACGTGGGAGCGCTCGGATCTCCCAGTCGTCCTGCCACAGCGTGCTCACGCCTTCTGGACGTCCTGAAATGGCAGGCGGTGTCAAACGGCTAAAGCCTCATAGCCACGTCCGCCGAACGCTTCTTCAAGTGTGATTCTTCTTGCGCCGGTTCTCTTCTCTGCGACCGTATGAAGTTCGCGTTGGTGCAGCCTCTTATCGACAGGTATACGCCGACACCTCGGGAGGCTGTGAGCCCCTGTCAGTCACGACTTACCGAACTCGATTACAAGGAGCTCGTGAAGGCATTCTGATTGAGATGTAACAAACACGTCTGGACAGCGCTGCATAAATTCTGCGGGACTCTGGTGAGATTTCCTGTCGTGTGGATGCTTATTACAGCAAGCATTTCTGAACCACGAAGAAGGCGCACAGAAGCAAGCCCGAGGTGAAAGTGAACACCATACCACGATGAGCATCGCCTATTGGCCGTTAGCGTGTTGTCATCGCGGCTTGCAAAACGATGCTTACCTTCTCGAGTAACTCCTAAAGCAAGAACTACGAACACATTCAACGGCAAGCGCATCATGCCGTACACTTTACCACGCACTGCATCCTCCACAAGCTCGCTCTTCAGTCTTGACATGGTTGGAAAGTAAAGACCAACGCAAGCTTCGAACAGCGAGAAGCACCAGAATGCCAGCGCTTCTGCCGTTGCTAGCACCGGCAGCAGGAGACTTATAGCTGCCAACGCAAGGATGCTCAACAAGAGTCGGCCAGTATCTCGACCGCTGCGAAGCTCGATCGAAGAGAAAATCATGGATCCCATCATCATGGCTGACATGAAGCAGGAGAATATGAGTCCAAATGGAGGCAACTCAGCGACACCCGACAAGGCTCTTGAGGACTTCAAGGCTGGAGACCAGAAGAAGACGAAGAGGTACATCGAGCCTTCAAAGACAGTGGTCGCCATTGCAAGGGTCAGGATGCGCTTGTCCAGTATTGTGTTCTGGAGTCCCGCGAAGCCAGCTGCAGAAGGCTTTTCCGGATCAGCTGCGACAGCATCACCATAATTCTCGCCCTACCTCGCCATTAGCACCATAACATTTGCAAGCGACCTTAGCAGACCAACCCAGAAGTTCCAGATGCCGGCGCTTGCAGTGCCCAGACACAAGATTGCCAACATGAAAGGTGCAATCTTGGTTCCACTCCAGCCAACAACAGCCTCGCCAACAATGCCGGCCAAAATAGCCACAACGCCACTCAGCGTCACACTCGAGCTGAACATGTCACCAAGCTTTAGACTGTCACTCAAGCCACGAGCATGATATTCCGCAATCATCCATGTCTCGAAAACAGAGTATAGAAGAGTGGTGCTCAGACCTCCCAATGCTCGACCGATGAATAGCATCAGCAAATCGCTGCTCAGAACTGAGAGACAAGAGAGCGAGTATGCTACACAAAATGTAAGACAAGCTAGTCTGCGGCCATGTTTATCTGCGAGAGAGCCGACGAAAGATGCTGTCACGGCAGCAGCTATGAAGCCTGTGGTGAACAGAGCTGCTGTCCTGGATTCGCTCAGGCCCTTTTCGTCTTTGTATAGAGTATACATATATGGTCCCTGTTGGTATATCAGCTCTATGAATCTGATGATTCTTGCCTCTCGTGGCTTACCTGCAACCAGTCTGCCGCCATAACAAGCACATACACGCCAAAGTAGGTTGTCTTAAATCTCCTCGCTTCTACTTTCGATGCGCCATCTTTTGGCAGCGCGAGCGTTTCTTCCTCACTCTTTTCGACTTGAGATTTCTGGCTGCGATGGTACGCAAGTGCTGCGTTGAAGAGAGCCAGAGAGGCGAAGTAGATGCCGTAAAGCTCCATGCTGATGAAAGATCTGATGTTGACCAACGACGAGAAGAACAATTTTGGATTTGTAGACTACCTATGGCGAAATCATGCCTGTCGGTCCAACATTCTCGTTCCAAAACGCTCCTCCCTTGCGAAAAGTCCATGCGCCAAGGATCACATTCCATACTCCAACGCGAATTCGGCGCGCGACGCGGAAATACGATATGATATCCAGAGTCCTTCTTATCGCAACAACTTCATCGCTGTGGTCATCGTCAAGCACATTCACCTACCGCCCACCATGACAGTCCAACCAAACCGCCTACCCTTACTCCTAGCCTCCGTCGGCGTGATTCTCTTCGTTGGCGCCCTCCTCCACCAGATGAATGGTGTGCCACAAACATGGAAAGATTCTCTAAGCAAAAGTGTCAGCGGTGTGGGAAAGACGAATCACATTACGACATCACAGCCAAGTTTCTATGACATTGCGCTTTCGCATGGGACGGATAAGGTTACCAAACATCATTATCATCATATGTGAGTTCATCAGCATTGGTGGCAAAGAAGTAGAAGAGAAGCTGACAGTGACGAATAGGTATCAGAAATACCTCGAACCCTACCGAAATGAGCCTTTGAAGTTTCTTGAGATCGGTCTTGGTTGCGATATGTCGTACGGTCCGGGAGCTTCGTATTATACTTGGCTCGAGTACTTCCCATACGTGGATTTGTACTATATCGAGTACGATGCTGCTTGTGCGGCGAAGTGGGCGAATGAGACGACTGGTGCCACGATCTTTTCTGGTGATCAGGCGGATGTGGCGTTCTTGAATAGGTTCATGGGCGAGGCTGGGATGGATTTTGATGTTATTGTTGATGATGGTGGGCATAGGATGAATCAGCAGAGGACGAGTTTGGAGGTGCTTTGGAAGGCCGTGAAGCCTGGAGGAATCTACTTCTGTGAGGATTTGCAGACGAGTTATTGGTGAGTGTCCCAAGATGGCCGAAAAGACCAGTCCGGGTACTGACCAGGGCTACCAGGGATGACTATGGTGGTGAAAAGGCGAATACTGGCAAGGTGAAGACCATGGTGAGTTCTGCTTTTGGTGGAGAGTTCCCAGCGTTGAGAATCTGACTGTACTGACGGGGATGGAACAGATGGCAATGATCAAAGAGCTGGTAGATGACCTTCATGTCGGTCCGGGAGGACACGCGAGAAAGCACGAGGTTAGTGTTGACATGATGTTCGTCGATTGTATGGAAGAGGTGTGCGCGTTCAGTAAAAAGGAGTCGTAGTTTTGAGTCGTAGTTTTGAGTCGTATCCCCATGCATCCTGTTCTTTGCAAAGTCAATTCCGGTGTCAGCTCATCAATGCTACAAGTGTTCTCCGCTGTGTTGATCAAGGACTCCTTGGACACCGAAATAGTAGTGCCGCATAGAGAGCAGTAGCATCGTCCTACTCCCAGGATTAGGCTTGTCGGAAGCTGGATCCGCCATCACATCCACGGGTTGTTTGTTGATGCCCATGCATCTGTACCAACAAAGCAATTGTGTGTGGCTCTCAGGAGCAGAGGCAATGGTATTGAAATCTCTTCATCCCGCGTCTCGTTGCTGCAAGGTTGCTCCTTTTGCTCCCCGACTATGACAAGAGGGATAGCGTGGAATGCTGCGGCTCAAGGCCAGCTATCAATTGTGCTTGATGAGGACGCGGGAGATGGTCGGCATGATACGCGGATGTGGTATCGCGCCAGTGTGTGACGTGTTGTTTTCTCTTGCAAACAAGAAAACAGTGATGACTTCATGGCGGATACGCGATCAAAGCGAACGCTCCGATACCACCACCACAGCTTCGGTAGCAGTATTCAAAGTGCAGTGTAAGTCGGGAGGCTGGTACGGCGGTCCACGGTACACGGATAGGAGGACTTTGGTGCGATGCTTGGGTGTCTACGGTTCGCTTTGTGAAAATATCCAAAGAAAAGTGTCTCCGGGCGGACTGCGGGCTGCCAAGCTTGGCTCAGCGACCAGGGTCAAGCCGCTTGCAAGTCGAAGCGGCCTCGCCTCGCGTTGTTGTGTCCGTCGTCGTCCCCCATCGAAGGGAAGGCATCAAACATCCTCCACCACCACTCCGCCTACTGCCAGCTGCCAGCACCGGACCGCCACGCGCCCCTCGACAAACACACTTCTGCCATCGCGTGAAGAGAGGCAGACATGCCATCTGCCGCCGAGAATCATTATCCCCACGACACGCGCTTCTGAGACCCGCAACGAACTCTGCGTGCGACTCGACCAATTCGGCACCCACCCGCCCGTACCTTCACCCACCACTCCAAAGTCGGTCGGCCTGGCATTCGCCCATACATCCTACGCCTGAGCCCTCCTCCCGCTGTCTTGTTCGCTCAGCAATTGCAAGCTTACCGTTGTCAAAGGGAGACATCGACAGAAGTCAACTCGACCACGAAGGCCACTCGCAGCACAACCCATCGCTTCATTCAGCTTGCGATCCCACCACAATGCCTCCTTCAGGTCGTAAGGGCAAGACGCGCGTGCGTAGAGCACCTGCAGCTACCGAAACCCATGAGCCGTCTGACGTTGACACCGCTGATGCCATTGCAACTCCGTCGCGAGGCTCGAGGAAACGCGCGCGCGGAGCTGACACCGCCGCTCCTGCTTCTCGCAACACGCGGAGGAAGATCAAGGATACACGAGCTCTAGACCGCGAAGACACCGAAGGCACAGAGCCCCACGAGCCGAGCGATAATGAGACCGAGACATCTATGCCAACGGAGCAGGAGATCATTCAATGTCTGAAGGTCTCCGACAAGCAGGTCAACGCTACCGAAGATTTCGCCAATGACCTTCTGGAAGGACAGGAGAATGTGCCAGGCTACGGCAAGATCGCTGGTCGCGACTGGATTTTCATCATTCGAAAAGTAGAGGTCAACATTGGAAGACCTGAAGCTCATGAGAGATTGCCTGTCAGCGATGATGGTGCTCGAGGCACCCCTACTGCGAAGACTGTTGTCGACATCGACCTGGGCCCGGATCGCCAAGTCTCCAGACTGCATGCTGTCATCCACTACGATGGCGAGCAAGGACGCTGGATCATCATTGTGAACGGACGTAATGGCATCCGTGTCGACAATAATCTACTGAAGCGCGGCAGTCAGTCCTACCTTCGTAACGGCAGTGTAATCGAAATCGCAAACACTCAGATGGCCTTTATCACCACTCCAACTGCTGAGAACGAGAGCCCTATTTGGGACGCCTCGATCATTAGACAGGCTCAGAAGTCTTCCGAAGAGGATGACGACGGCGAAGATGATGCACGCAATGCTGGTCCTCGCAGCCACGCTCCTTCCGGACGCAGTCACCTGCAAGACAGCGGCATGTATCAATCGGACTACAACGGCCAGCAGCAACAACAACAGCACAATTCGCAGCATCGCACACATCCACACTCGCAACGCGCACTGCAGGCCACCCCTGGTACGCCCATGCGTGGTGCGCACTCGTTTGTAAAGTCATCGCCGGCTGCAAACTATGCTCGAGGCGTGATGATGGAGTCTACTGAGACCATTGACTACTCCGCAGACAACGCCAAAGATCTGAAGCCTCCGCATTCGTATGCTCAGCTGATCGGAATGGCCATTCTTAGTACGCAAGAACAGCAAATGACATTGAACAACATCTACAAGTGGATCATGGCCAATTACGCATTCTATCGTTTCAACACAGGTGGCTGGCAGAACAGCATCCGCCACAATTTGAGCTTGAACAAGGCTTTCACTAAGATCGCACGTCGTACAGATGAGCCTGGCAAGGGCATGAAGTGGATGATTGAGCCTACTGAATTTGACAATTTTGTGCAGCAGGGCATGAAGGGATGTCGGCGACCAAATCCAATTCCAGGTACTCAGAGTACCCTGGGCTCACCAAATAGTCCAATGGATCGCATTCGGGCTGGTGGCAAGCGAGAAGATGATACAACGCCACCACTCAACCCATACCCACCTGCCTACCCATCTGCGATGGAAGCCTACACTCCTGATCGCGGTCCGCGTCGCCCTGTGAACGGCAACCTGGGCAGTAGTGTAGGCCTGGGCATTGAAGGCAACAGCTTGGTCGACTACGACTACCCGCAGCGCTCGACGCCGCGGAACGGCCTCAATGCCGTGGCCAATGCCGCAGGGTCTCCTCCCGCGCTTTATGTCAATGATGACGGTCGCGTCGGTCCTTTGGATACCCCGTTCCCGCTTCGACCTTCGCAGCGCCTGGCACCACCCAGTACTTTGCGACGACCTAGTGACTTCATCCAATTCAGCAGTCCCGCGCCATTCTGGAAGATGGACGGCGTCAACAGCACTCCCTTCCGGCCATTTGATCTGAGCCCATTGAAGACTCCGTTTCCAAATCTCAAGAAGGCCATTGCCGAAGAGCAGAAAAAGAGCGAAGCAGAGGAAAGCTCCCCAGCTGAGAAGACAGATGAGGAGGAGAAGCCTGCGAGTGATGAGCCAAAGTCAAAGGACAGTCCAGTCGTCCCGTCGAGCAGTCCACCTCGCGCAATTGGTACCGGCCCTGCGCTCGATGCCAGTCCGACGCTCAGTAGGCCAGCGACTGCTGTTGCCAAGACACTGAGCCAACTGGCTAACGCTGGCAAGGTGCAATCTCATCACGCTCCGGAAAAGACACCGCCAAATGGCAATGGCTTGGCGCCTCCTGTGCAACAGCACACTCCACCCACGACCGTCATCAGTGCACCAAGTCATCCAGCTATTCGGCAACATGAGCTGCCACAGACTGCTGTGGCGAACAGCTTCGAGTCTGCTGGATCCCAGCGGGCAGTATCACATGGATACAGTAATCCATATGCTGGAACCCATGGTTCACACTCCAACGGATATGCCATGGATGATGCCGAGGAGGATGGGATCGATCTTGCCAAGTAAGTTCCAGATGATGTGTGTAAGATATTCGAAGCAATGCTAATCCGATGGTAGGGGCTTTCAACCCATTGGCGTGTTTCATCAGCGCAATCATTTAGCGATGGGAATGGCAGGTGCTCCTGGCTTTGGACGCTAGTAATCCAACCGCATTCGAAGCGAACTGTTTCTCCTTTAGAAATCGGAAGCATCAGCATCGAGTAGCCTTTTTCAGCATTTGGCATGATTGGCGTTCTGGCAACGCATAGCGTAACGAAACTTTAGACGAGCGAAATGATAAAGGGAATAGGCTGCACTGCATCACGCTAATGCAATGGAAGGAGTTGTTGGTGTTCAGACTGTAATTGAGACATTGTTGTTTTAGGGATCATGCAGAATAGGAAGAAGAAGAAGAAGAGGGAGAAGATTTTTCTGCACTCTCCTCTTTGATTGCTTTCATAAAACCAAATGGTAATTTCCGTGCCAGCTTAAGTGTCGGGGAGATCACCCATTTTCATACTTTTTCCACTTCACTTACCGAAGTCATCCCAGCCACCATCTTTACACTAGTCACAAGAGGAAAAAAGCTTACGTACTAGTGACACGATCACGGACCTAGGTAAGCAGAAAGCAAACACAACACGATCTTCATTTCCTCGTCATTGTCTATATCTATCGCTCTCTCTCTCCGCGAAAGAATCCCCTTGTCACAAACTCTGCCGTCCCCTCGTCTCAATGGGCAAAACCAACATAGCCAAAAACGCGGCAAAAAACAATCCCGCACTAGCATAAATCGGAGCCTTGGGATCAGTTCCTCCAGCATTGACAGCCACGATCGGAGCACAAAGTCCCGCAAGACGATTCAAAAAACTTGAGATTCCCGTCCCAGTGCCGCGGTTCGGGGCGGGGAATACTTCGGGCGTGTAAGCGTATAGGACTCCGTACATGATGTTTTGGAAGAAGGCTTCCATGGATGACATTGCGAGTTGGTAGCCGGATGATGTGGCTCGGGTGAAGAGGATTAGGAAGATTCCTGAGAGGAGGGTGGAAATGGCCATGGTGCCTTTGCGGCCGATGTAAGGGATGTTGACGGTCCAGCAGGCGAGGATGGAGCCGGGGACGCCGACGATGGAGGTTATGGTGTAGTCGCGGTAGGTTTGGGAGATGCTTGGGCTGCTTCCGCCGCCGGCTTGGGAGAGGTATTGTGGGAGGAAGGCGTTGAAGAGTGGGTAACCCATCCCGATCGTTGTCCACGTGAACCAAATTAGGACTGTGCTGATGGCGAGTCTCTTGCCGTGAAAGAGAGGTCCCATGCGTTCTCCGCTGAACTTGGAGAGTTGGCGTTTGATGATTTCGCCGGTAGATAGCTTTGCATCGTCGACGTCTTCTGGATTTCCGCCGATGGCGTTCAGAATGTCTTCTGTCAACCAGGTCTTGGAGCCGTTGAAGTATGCGATTCCGTGGACGACAGCTACGGCTTCAGCTTGGCGGCCACGAGAGAGGAGGAATTTTGGCGATTCGAAGAGGTGGAAGAGGAAGAAGCGACAGAGGAACATCGCAAAGGTGATGGCGCCCAGAGTAAGGACGAGGTACCTCCAGCCCCAATTGTCTGGATAGTTGGGGATGAGTGCCCAGGCGAGCAGCGAGGAGATCAGCTGCCCAACAGGCCACCAGACCGAGAGCAAAGTGAGGAGATTGCCGCTGGCGAAGGGCAGGAACTCCAAGAACAGTGCGCCATCGACAGGAAGATTGCCACCAACTCCAAGACCAATGCCTGCATACAGCGCGCAGGTTCCAATCCAATTGGGTGCGCCTCCAGCTGCAAGTCCGAAGACACCAGCGAGCAGGAGAGTGAAGTTGAAAGCGAGTCGGCGTCCGATCACATCCGAAACAATGCCCCAGAACGATGCACCAATGCACAGCCCAAGAAAGAGACTGAGCGTCGTGTAGCGGACTTGAGTGTCGCTGACACCAAATTCGGCCGAAAGGCTGGGCAGAGTAAGAGCTACGCCTTGCAACCAGAGATTGTCCGCGAGCCAGCCAAACCCACATAGAGTGAACAACTGCCACTGATAACGTCCCATGCCGATGTCTTGGATCGCCTTGTTGATAACTGTGGACTTCTTGTCATAGGCCGCATTGTGGCCGGCTGCAAGGTCTGATTCCACTTCTGCTTTCAGACTTTCCAAGGAAAGGACTGGTCCTGCTTGTTCTCCGGCGTACGGAGGCATATCTTGCTCTGAGCCTTTCTCCGCGTCCTTCTCGGAGCTTGCTTTTGAATCCGTTGCAGTACTGCTTCTCCTGCTGGGAATAAAGCCGGGTTCAGAGACAGAAATGTGTCGTGCTCTGCATTTACATCAGTGGTTAGGGACGCATCAGCAAGATCGAATTTCTATCAATACTCACAGCTCCATTGGGACGAGAACGCCTTCGAATTCCGATGCATCATGTTTGGCGAATCTGTTACGTTGTCAGCGCAAGTTCTTCAAGTGTACCTCCTTCAGCCATAGCGAGCGTTCTTGAACGTACGGGTTGAGGAACTTGAACATGGACGGCATTTTTGCCGCTGCTGCTGTTCGACTGATTCCTGGGATGCTCTCTAAGCATCAAGCACTTAAAACGTATTCAACGAGTGTAACAGCGTCGAGGATCACAGAATTTGCCGCCGATTCTAGGAATTTGATGCTTCTGGGATGTCGTCTTTGGATATTCGCTTTGGCTGGGATGTTGCCTGTGAGATTTTGTGCTCTTGGATAGATGCCGATGTGTCGCTATGGCAGCAATTGGTCGGATTCGATGTCGAGAACGGTCCAGAAATGCGTCGCTGTCGTCACGATGCTGGCTGAGAATTGATGGACAGTGCTATTGAGGTACTCGTTCTGATTGCTGGCTAGATGTTACCCCTTCACAGATGTGACCGATATTTGCTGATGCTGAAATCTGTCTTGTCAGTCTAAGAGAAGACGACGACAGTAGTTGGAGCAGGATATATGTCTGTGTGTCCTCAGGTTGGAGCAGGAACAAAGTTATATGGGCGGAAGGAGACATTCTTCAATGCCGTTAGTCAGCGCGGCGTTGCAGCGAACGGATGAGTCCTCAGCGCGGCCTCGTCTGCAGGGCATCTGGACATATCCAAACATCTTCCCCCCTCCCAATTCACAGGTACGCTACATGGATCTCTCAAGGCCAAATGACGACAAGCACTCAAGGTTGTGCCAAGACCGATCCATTTGAAGGAAGCCGGGCGTGGCGGCCGTGCTTGACTTTCTCTTCAACCAACGTCACACTCTCGCAGACCACACATGCACCACGGATTGCTGCTTATGAGTAAGAGATGAAGGCTGTACATCAAATGTGCCCTCTCCGACTCCGAAGTCCAACTTCAACGTGAAAGCAACCCGAAAGATCAAGCCGCTAAGCAAAGACATCGACCACATATCGCACATTCCTCCTCTCCCGAAACCACAGTTCGGCCTCTTTCTCCGACATTTCCTGTCCCCTCGACTTCATGCTCTCAAGCAAGAGCTTTCGTGAAACGTCGCCGAGGCCTTCGCACACTGCTGGACCGCCGCAAACGAAGACCTTGGCGCCATCTCGCCACAGTCTGATGACATCTTCCCGCTCCTTCCACATGCGATCTTGGATGTATTTGCAGCCTTCCGATGCGTGACTTTCTTGACTGAAAGCATATCTGATATCAACAACGCCATGCTTGACCCACTTGTCCATCTCGTCAGAGTAGAGACGATCGCTTGACGAGGAGCGACAGCCCATGTACATGATGGCAGGAGCGAGCGAGCGTCCGGCAGCAATCTGCTGAGCCCTTTCTTGGATGAAGCCGCGGAAAGGTGCAATGCCGGTACCGGCGCCGAACATCAGAATTGGTGTTTGTGAAATCTCGGCCGGCAAATGAAAGTACCTGTTTGTAGCGCGGACAGAGACGAGTATCTCATCACCAGTCATAAGACCAGATAAGTAAGAGCCGGTGACTCCCACGTAGCGACCGTTTCCGCTCTTCGCGTCTTCGTCGATGACACCGTAGGTTACTGTGCATGAGGTGGCATCGACTAACGGTGAGGAAGAGATCGAGTACAAGCGAGGCTTGAGTGGCTGCAGCATAGCGATGAAGGTGTTGAACCCCAACCCAATACTTGTGTATCGCTCAAGAAGATCCAGTAACGAGACATGGCTTTCATCCAATTCTCGAAAAGCGCTTTCCGACTGCAGAGCGCGAAGTTCCTCTTTCTCCGTCGTGTCGCTGGTGCATGCAATGCAAGCCTGTATATCTCTCTTCGTCGCAGGCAAGGACAGCTCGACAAACCCTTTCAGGAGCTCCACGATGGACAAAGGCACGCCAGTTGGCAGGAATGTTGCAGCGCCAGGCTTGATCGTAGTCGTGGCCAAGGCAGAGATCTTGAAATGCTTCATGACTCGAGTCACTGTTTGCTGAGGATTGAGAGGCAGAATGGCCAGATAGTCTAAGAAGGTCAGCGGGACACCATGGTGTGGCAGAATTCTTGCTCACCTCCTGCTTCGTATGTCATGTTATCTGGCAGCTTGATCTCGAGATGACGCTTCTCTGGCTCACCATCTGCTGTCAAGCACCACGAACTCTTTACGATGCCCTTCCTAACATCTTGGCGAAGGTACGTGCTTCTCTCACGAGTGGCGACGTCCATTTCCAGCTCTGGTGCTTCTTGAGCTGCTCCCGATGATGGCGAGACGCTTGGCCAAAATGAACGGTCAGTCCAATCTTCAAACTGCGAAAAGATATCGCCAGCGGCGGCATCTGCAAATCCCTGTGCACGACAAGCGCAACGTTAGCAAATCATCACCGAAGCGAACAATCTCGCTGAACTCACTGCCCTGACAGTTTGCGTTGCACCATGCTTCTTGAAAAGTTCGTCGACAAGTTTCGGGATCCTGTGAAATGTCCCTGTCCAGTCTCGGTGACCACAGCCAAAGACAGCAAAATTGACTCCCTCAAATCGGCTCTCGCCAGGAGGCATGACTTCAAGCCACTTCACGAACTGGGCCGCGTTGTCCGTTGGTTGTCCTTCATAAGAAGCAGTGATCAATACTACAGGCTGTCCATCTCTTGGTATTGCATCCACGGCATCGTTGAGCTCCATCACTCGAGCGTCGAACCCATGTCGGCGACCTTCGAGAGAAAGCTTTTGAGCCAGAGCTGTGCATGTGCCTAGATCCGAATGTCAGTATTGGTCATATAGGGACCGTGGCTTCCCAAAGGGAGAGACTCGCCTGTATTGCTACCATACAGGATGGTCATCGGTTTCGCATCTTCCATTCCACTGTCAGCTCTGCTGATCGTGTCCTCGATCGCAGACCTGACTGCGTCTGGAGACGAGGCAAGCGCTGTTTGAAGAGTCGCGGCGGAAATACCGTCTCGAAGGGTGGCACGCATGTAAAGGCCCTCAGGCTTGATCGTCAAGGTCTGCTTGATTCGCATCTGATAGCCAGGATCATCCAGTCTGATGTTGAAGTTTTGTAATATCATCGCCATTGCAAGCTGGGCCTCCTGCCACGCAAAGGCTCGGCCGATGCAGGAGCGCAGTCCAGTGCCAAAAGGTTTCCATGCGGACTTTGGCAGCTTGTTGAATGCGTCACCTAGCATACGCTCTGGCTTGAAGTCGTTCGCATCCTCCCCATACACCTCGGGATCGCGCTGACACTTCGAAAGCAGACAGAGCACTTTATCATCTCGATTGATTGCGTACTTGCCGCCAAGGAGCTCTTCCACGTCATTGGGATTGTCTTTGCGAATGCTGCGTGTGAAAGCTGGCGCAGTCGGACACAATCTCAAGGTCTCTCGGAACACCGCATCAATATATTTCAGCTCCTGTAAATGCCTGACTTCAATTTTGCCACGACCCAAAACGCGGTCGACTTCCTGTTGTGCTTTGAAATATGCGTCTGGATGCTGAAGCAAGAACAAGAAAGCGAAGCTGAGGAGGCCGCTAGTGGTCTCGTGTCCCGCGATCTGAAGATAGAAGTGGAATGTCAGAAAATGGTTCAGAAACCATCAAAGTCTCCAAAGTCGACGCTTACCAAGAATGTGGTCATGTTCGAGGCAATGAGTCCATCGCTCATTTTCTCGCTGGTATTTGGATCTTTGCCTAGAACCATTGCGTTGAGAAGGTCTCGCTTGTTCGTTGGGTTATTTCGCCTCAGCTCCACGAGCTCTTTTGACACGGAGGTCATGTATTGCCTGTCAGCCGCCAGCTTCTGTATACTCTTATCCCAGGGCAGGAGTCTTTTGACGATGCTTCCGAGCTTCGTCCTGTCCGAGGAAAATGCTAGCGATGTGTTCATAGCTTGCACGAATGGATGAAGTTCGTCTTGGTAGAAGCTGTTGAAGCGATAGTCCATTGCGCAAAGAGCTATTGTGTCCAAGGTCAATCGCGTGAAATCTGATGTTACTAGTATTGAGTAGGATGGTCCTAGTCGCGCCCATTTGAGGACAAGCTGCGAAGCGATGTCATGCATCTCGTCAAACATGTCCTGGATTGCCAGTGGCCCAAAAGCTGGCATCAGGATCCTGTGAGCCAGCTGCCAATCCATGGTCTCTTCGCTTTCCGCAGTGAAAAGACCCTTCGAGCCACCACCACCACCCTGATTCAATGGATTCAGTCCATCTCCAGGCGCCTTCCAAAATCGTGATTCGTCGCATAGTTCGTCCAGAAGGGCCACATTCGCGGCGAACAGCCTTTCTCGGCCCATGATGTTTAATTTAAACATTCCGCCATATGTATCCGCAATGTTCTCAAGGCCTCTGATTGGCACTTCATCTTGAATATCAAGCAAGTTGCCAACAATTGGCAAGCCGGGCGGCGAAGGAATGTTGTCTCTGGGGCTTTTGCTCATTATGCTTGTGGCGGTGATATGAAACGCAATCTGTTAAGATTAACGCCGCAAAAGTCCGGCGAGGCTGAAGTATCAGTATTTCGTGCTGAGATAAGAAGAAAGTGCGAATTGAGTGAAGAGAAGTTGACAGCAGGAAGCCGAGGAGAATAATATACTTGCTATTGTGGTGGCTGCAGATGGAATCGGGCAAGGGCAGCAATAGTCACCAACAGAAAGTACAGCATGAGGGCATAGAAAGGACCAAACTTGACAAAGGGCAGTTTGAGACGGCTTGTTGCTCCGCACATGAGATGTTGAAGCAGGAAAGGAGCGCGCTGCGAAGTGAGTGCGCATCGGTTGCCCTTCCAAGCAAGGCGCCCCACCTTACGAAACTCCACTAAACTGTATTGGGAAGCCATGGCGACGAACGTCTTCTCTGCTCTGCCTCCTCAGCCTCGTACGCCGTATACCAGCACATCCTTCTCTGCTCTGCCTCCTCAGCCTCGTACGTACGCCGTATACCAGCACATCCTTCTCTGCCTCCTGCCTCCTCAGCCTCGTACGCCGTATACACAGCACATCCTTCTCTGCCTCCTGCCTCCTCAGCCTCGCACGCCGTATACACAGCACATTGGCAGGAAAAGTGGAAGTATGGTCTTCCGGCTTTTTGCGTGCACAATGGGATGACTGGACGTAAGGAGTAGGACTGCCCGGTCGATTCGCAATCAGGAGAGTGAGAAATGCAGAGGCGGGTTGAAAGAAATCGAGTGTCAAGGTAATTCTGTAGATCGAAAATAAAATATCGTAATCATCTCTTATTGGAAGGAAAAGTGCTTGGCAATCACTGCCATGTCCGCCAGCTTACATGCCGAAAAAATATTGAAATAGGCCAAGGAGCGTTCCTTAACAAATGCGCAGACCCGTGCAGTCCTGGAGAATTCTGATGATGTGAACCTTTTTCCGTTTCATATATACGCATACCGCCTCTTTCGCATGGCTACAACGTTGTCAGCAGTCTGGTCGTGTTACCGAGGGCTGAACGTAATGCTTACACCTTGCGACGAGGTCTTCGAGATCGTAGATCCCGCCCTTGTGCTTCTTTTGCTTGCTAGAGCCAGAGCTAGCGCTACGTCTTCTCGACGGGATCAATTCGTATGATTCGTCCTCGCTGTCTGGAAGGACGAGGACTTCTTTTGGCGAGACGTCGCTCGCAACGCTCGTGATGGCAGCCAATCTTGCCCGCTCGTCCATTAGAGTATGTATCTCCTTGAGCGATTTGCCGGCCCAGCTTGCAGCATGGCTGCTGGCGGCACTATCGGGCTTGACCTCTACAACTCGTACTACCTCGATGTTGTCGTCATCACCGGAATTGCTGGATTTCGATGATGATGTGTCTGACTTGTACTTCAGCTTCAATGGCTGTTTGGGAGCAGTAATTGGTGCTGCGGTGTACGTTGGAGATGGCCAAAACTTGTTCGCATGAGGCTTGGGTGGCTTGATCTTGGGCGAAAGATTCGGACTCGCGAACTTCTGCGGGAACGGTGTTGTCTAAGACTCTTCTTACACCTTCTCACTAAAACAGTGAGCAAACAGGCAAACAGTATAGGAGATACTAAAGGCCTGTAGATAGCGTAGATAGACTGATTATTAGACTCAGTTCCCTTTTTATATACAGCTTCAATAGGTTGAGCCCTCGCTTCCGTACGATCTAATATCCTCCGAAAGCTGAAATTGTAAAGACTAATTGTCCTCGATCGTTTCAATTCAGTTAGCAACCCTAACTAGCAAAATTCCCCTTGTGTCTCACTTTACGTTTGATCTAAGGAACTCTACTATAAGAGGTAGAAAGTCTCTACTATAAAAGGTAGAAAGGGGTCTAGGTACGGCTCGGCAAAGAGAAACTTAGATCTAACATCCTATATACGGCCTGTAACCCGTAACAGCGGAATTCTTAGCGCACGGCCCGTAACTCGTAACGCAATTAGCTATAACGGCTTCTACTTCTTATACTTCTACGACTCTAGTCGACAGTAATAGCGATAAAATACTCGTAACGTAAGACTAACTTCCTACTTAGGATCGCATTACCTAAACTAGAGCCTAAGTAAAGAACTTTAAGAGCCTTATTAAGGGTACCGAGAATATACCTATTAAACCCGAAATTCCTATCTGCCTAACTCGCGAAGAGATTACGACTTAACTCGGCTTTATAAAGTTAGCCCGCCTCCTCGATCTAGAGTAGAAGGCGGAAGTCTTAGTAGAATATAAATTTGCGCTATAAGAGTTCCGAGCCGAGACGCTTAAGTATTAGACGAAGAAAGACATCTACGACAAATACTCTAAACGTAAGAGAGAATGCCTCTCCTAGCTTGTATCTAAGGTATATCTATCTATTTATAGCTCTATTCCTGAGACCGATAAACTAAAGGTGTTCTACGAAGCTATCTTAAAGCATTGCTAGAAGAGTAAGTTACGTCGTCTTTAGGACGCTACTTATAAATAGCATACTACTCGAGAGTTCTATTACGATAGTATATCTAATTACCTTAACGATCGTACTCTATAGCGACTAGAGATACGTAATATTATAGGAGATCCTAGCCGAGTCTCTAATAAAGAGTTTATATTAGTTACACTTAAAGGCTTAGGAAGAGAATATAACGACTATAAAGCAGTATATAATCGCGCTTACGATATAGGTACTATCTTTATAGTCGAATCTCTTAAGACTTAACTACTTAGCGAAGAGACCCGGGTTCTTTAGAAGAAGAAAACTAAAGTAGCTAAGAACCTAAAGCGCAACTATAATAGCAATAAAGGCTCCTATAACAAGAGCTCTAATAAAAGCTCCGATAAGAACTCTAGCAACAAGAAGGAACGTAAGAAGCTAGACTACTACGGGAAATAGGGCAACTACGATAAAAGTAAATGCTAGACGAAGTACCCTAAGAAGATGCCTACTAAGAAGGACGGTAGAGACAAGCTAGCTTCGATATCGGACTAGCCTTTATCTAAGCCTAAATCTTAATACCTCGTAGTTAGAGATAAGATAAAATTTATTAAGCGACTAAAGCTAAGTAGTTAGACCTGTCTAGCGTTTAGAGATAAGGACGATTTCCTTATAGCCTTATAGAAAGCTCGAGAACAAGCCTCTATCCTAGAACTAGAGAAAGTCTTCGACCTGTCCTCTAAGTAAAAACTCCTAGATACTGCCTCTATATACGAAAACCCGAATTATTACTTCTAAGTCGAACGCAATATTTAGGGCAATAACAAACTAGCTCGTATCTACATAGTCGATCGATTCTTAGATAAATACGATCGTTATTAGGAAGAACTTCGGCGCATTTATAATTAAGTAACCTAGCTCGAACAAAGCATAACTAGTTAGCGTTCCGAGGATATAACGACTCGAGACACTAAAGTATAAGAGCAAAACCCTACCTAAAAGCCGCGATGCTCTAGTATATTATCTCCCTTAATTACCTCTAAGACCTATACTAACGACTCGCAGTTCTCTAAACTAGCTAAGCTTAGTAATAAGGAGGAGGTAGATAAAGAGATTATACGGACATATATTAGAAAAGGATGCGGCGCTACTTGTACTTGTAATACTGTTAGCATATAGGAAGTTAACCTAACCCTATTTTACATCCTCGCTACTCTAGATAGCAAGCTTAATCTAGATACCTAGCTACTAGACGGAGGTATAAGTATATATATTTGCAACAATGTTAAATAGTTTACCGAACTATATTCCTTCTAGTACTACCTTAGGACTATAGACGCTAACGGTACCCTATAAGTTTAAGGGGGAGGCAATGTTACTATCCTACTTATCGATAAAGACAGTAAGCCTTTCCCCTATAAGATAAAGGGTATTGTATTCGCTCCTACTAGTATATACAATCTCCTCTCTTAGTCTAAGATAGACAAGTTAGGAGTATTTAGGGCTTATGTTACGGGTAAGCAACGCGTACGCAGATGCTAGATGTAAGACTTAATAGGTTCGATAAAGAGCTAAGTCTATCTACGTGAATCCGAATAGTTTTGTGCGGTGCGCTAAGCGCTAAGCAGTGGGTTAGAGTCGCGTAGGCCGAATGCCTAAGGCTAGCGCTTTCTACCTAGGGCGTAGCCCTTTATATTACTCCCGTCCTCCTCCCCTTCCTTAGTAGGGACAGAAAGCCCCCCGTAGTTTCTATCGCTATTACTTCAACTATTAGATCTGCACTTATCTAAGCTTCTCTAGAGTGACGCGCTCGTAGTTTCCTCCTTCGCGATCGGGGTTTCCGCTACTTTCCGGTCGGGGTTGCCGTATCCTAGGCTTTAAGCTGTTTACCCCTTCCTAAAACGCGCCTTACTTGCACTCGCGCCTTCCGTTGCTTTCGCGACCTTTACTTCCGTATCGCTTTCTATAAGTATTAATATTTCTCCCTTCTTCTTCTTCTTCTTCTTTTTTCTATATACACTTCTACTACTACTACTACTACTAATACCGTAAGTCCCTCCCCTTCCTCCTCGGTTCCCTTCGTAAAATTAACTTTTCGTAGATAGCTCGTCGAATTTACTATGTTAGTTGCTGCAACTCCGGCGAAGACTACGCCGACTAAGCTGTAAGGTTTCCGGCTAATTTATCGCGGGGTCCGCTAACTTTTCCTAAGCCCTCTAGCTCGAGAGCTTACGCTAATTGCGCTCGTAAGAGAATTGCTTACGCCCTACTATAAGATATCGCGATCCCCTTGCCTAATCGCTCGCTAACTACTTAGTCCTTAAATAGCCTACGTAGCCTACGCTAACTATACCCGCGCGACCCGCGCTAATATCGCCGAGAAGCACTCCGAGCTTCTTAAGGTTCTTAAGGTATAGAAAGCCCTTAAGTCTCTCTAGCCGTAGGGGTTGTTGTCTAGGTAAGATTCCCGTTTCCCGCGATAAAACCCCCGCTAACCGGTTGTTTTAGCGCTGTCGCCTTAGAGGTAACGAACACCGTCGCTAATATCGTAGCTTAATAGAGTTAGACGTAAGTTCCTCGTTGCCCTTCGACTTTCTTTCGCTAACCTCTCTTTTCTAGTAGCGTTCTAAATGCCCTCCGTCTCGGCAACAATCGTATAGGTCTACTAGAGGAGTAAAGGTTTCCGGGGGTTTTCTAGTAGGCTCTAGGTGGTTTCGGATGTGTTATTATTACTTTTGTTGTAGTCCTAGGGTAACCTTCTAATTTCGGGCGGAGACCCGATACTTACTTATAAATACCTAAATAAAATTCTTCTTAATCCTAAATTATGTTTCTCTCCTCTACTGTTCTAGTAAACCTAAGTCGAATAAGTTAAGAAAATCCAAACTCTAGAAGTTAGTAAAAATCCTTAAAATCTATAAATCCGTTACTCCGCGGGAAAACTCTAGGTTACCGCGTTATTTCTTCCGTTTTCCTCTCTTCTCCTAATCTCCTAGAGGCCCGTCGTTCTCCTCGATTTGTCTATATTTCGCTTCGAAGTCGTCTAGCGCGGAGGTATCCGCGATATAGTCTAGGGGTTCCTACGTAGGCTCGTAGTACCCGCTCTATTTTACAAGTGCTTCTCGTCCTCGGCCCCGCTTCTTTTTCCGGGCGTATAGGATTTCTTCGACCTACTATTCTTTATGCGTCTCGAATAAGATAGGGTCCGGCTGTTCGTCGTCGGTTACCTATCCTAGAAGGGGGTCCCGGCTCGCGAGTCTTAGAAGGTCGGTATAGAATACCGGGTAAATATTGCTAGGTATCCCCGAGAGTCGTACTAAGATAGGCGATAATACCTCTTCTACCGTATACTTAGCGTATTTCGAGTCGAGGCTCTTCTTTAGTCTGCTAGTCTAGTAGTTCCTTAGGTCGAGCTAGACCTTGTCTCCGATACGATATACCGGCGCTAGAGTTCTAGTCTTATTCGCGCTGTCCTCTTGTTTCTGTACGGCTTCCGCTATCTATACTTAGTATAGATCTAAGATCTTCTTAATCTTGTCTACGAACTCCTCCGCCCGTTTCGCCGTAGTTAGCCGTCGGTCGATCGCTAGGTCCTCTTCTAACGCAACGGGGGAGGTAGATTCGTAACCGTAAGTCGCGAAGAAAGAGCTTATTCCTAGCCCCGCTTAGTATCTACCGTTAAACGCGAGTTCCGCCGTAGGAAGCTATTAGTTCCAATCGGACTGTATCTAGTTAATATAGTTCCGTAGGTACGCTTATATATCCTAGTTTGCGCGCTCCGGACCCCCGTCGGTTTGTAGGTAGTAGGCGGAGCTTAACCTCTGCTTTACGCTAAGTAGTCGATATATCTCCTTCTAGAAAGTGCTTATCCAATTCGTACCTCTATCGCTAGTAATAGTACGTAGTAGTCCGTAATACCTAATCTAGTATTTTAGAAACAAAACCGCGTATTCCTCTACCTTTATAGAGGGAGTACCGATAAGGGCGATCTATTTGCTAAGGCGGTCTTTAATTACCTATAGATACCGGTTCCTATCCGACTCCGGTAGGTTAGTTATAAAGTCTATCGAGATTTCCTAGAAGAAACGGTCGGGTACCGGCAGTAGTTTTAGGAGGCCGTGTTTGTATTCCCTCTATACCTTATTACGTCTATAATAGTTACAGTTCCGTAGGAATTGCCGTACCTGCTTCGACTATAGCGGCTAATAAAAGTCGCGACCTAGTATAGAAGCAGTAGAATCCCGGCTAGGGTAGCCGTAGAGCGGCGAGTCGTAGATCGACTAGATAATCTTCGTACGTAGCACGTCCTACTATAGTTCCTCGGCCCCTATATCTTTGTATTCGGTTTCCGTCGTCGCTAGGGCTCCTAGAACCTAGAGCTTACCGCGGTAGCGAAGGAACCCCTTAGGGTCTATTATATAATCCCCGATCTAAATCTTTGCTTTAATTTCCGGTTGCAATGTTCTATACCCCTTACGGACTTTCCGTACTACCGTCTAGTATACCGTATCTTTCTCGATAATGCTCTTCTATATATCGTTTATCTCTAGGTCCTAGAATAGTTTAGCGCTTTCCGGCGAAGGCTACGCGGGCTCCGTTTCGTTCGCGAGTAGGGACACCGAGCTCGCCTTTATAGTACGCGGGAAGCTACGGATAGTAGCACTAGAAATCTAGACGCTTTCCGGCTAGTTTAGGGAGAGGTCCGGCTCTAAGAATCTCCGGAACCTCGAAAGCTTATCGTCTTAGCCTAACGTATCTTGTTCTCTCCTCGATAGGGTATCCGGCAGAATAGCTTCGATTCCCGGCCGGTAGACTAAGGTAAACTAGTGCTTCGCTAGTTCTTCCTACTATCGGATCTGTCTTTCGGACAGCTAGCGCTTTACTATAAAGTATTCTAGGTTCTTATAGTCCGTCCAAATCGTAAAGGGGCTATATAATTTTAGCTCGGAGTCCTAAAACTTAATACTAGATACGACTACGAGCATTTCCTTGTCGTAGATATCGTAATTAATCTCCGCCTTGTTTAGTTTCTTCGAAAAGAAGCCTACCGGTCGGCGGATTCCCGCCTTTTCTTAGACGAGGGCGCCCCTAATCGCGAACCCGCTGCAATCCGTCTTAAGAAAGGTAGGAAGGGACGGGTCCTACTAGGTAAGTACCGGGGCGCGATAAAATTTGTCCTTTAGCGTCTCGAACGCTTTGTCCTACTCTTCTCCCTAAGAGAACGGGGTTCCCTTACCGGTAAGCGCGGTTAGTAGTGCGGAGATCTTAGAATAGTTCGGTACGAATATGCGGTAGTAGTTCGTAAATCCTAAGAAACGACGAACTTCCTTTTAGGTCTTAGGTGCCACCTATTTTTGTACGGCTTCTACCTTTTCGGGGTCGGCTAATACTCCTCCTCCGTCGGCGTAGACGATAAATCCTAGGTACTTAATCTTTTTCTAGGCGAATTCGCTCTTTTTGATATCGAGGTAAAGGCCTCCGTCCTAAAGCTTCTTAAGAACCGCCCTTACCTTACGGAAATAGTCTTCCCTTAACCCGCTCGAGTAGATAACTACGTCGTCTATATACGCTAACGCGAAGTCGTCTAGATACTCCCGTAGGAGAGTGTTAATATACCGTTAAAATGTAGCCGGGGCTCCGGACAAACTAAACGGGCATACTAGCTATTCGAACGAGCCTAGCCTAGTCCGGAAGGCCGTCTTATACTCGTGTCCTTTTGCTATTCTAATCTTGTAAAAGGCTAAGACTACGTTAACCTTAGTTAACTACCGGGCCTCCGTAAGGTTCCTTATAGTATCCGGGATTAGTAGGAGGGGGTATCTGTCTTGCTTCGTTAGAGCGTTAAGCGCCCTATAGTCGTAGCAGAACCGGAGCCTACCGCCGGGCTTCTTAACGAACAACACGGGCGCCGCTACCTCGGAGTTCGTAGGTCTAATAAATCCCTTCTTTAGGAGTTCGTCGAGTGACTTTCGTAAGACTAAGAGCTCCTACTTCGATATACTATAGAGCGGGCCCTAGGGGAGTTGCGGCTAGGATCCGTCTAGGTTTTTACGGAGTTCTATCGTATAGTCGATGCCGGGGCGATAGGGCGCTAACTTATCGGCTTCCCTTTAATAAAATAGCGCGGCTATATCGCGAACCTCCGGAGGTAGCTTTTTCTTTAGCTCCTCGATCGTCGGATATTCTTTTGTCTTTAGGGCCTTTTTAATATCCTCGGCAATTGTAGCGGTAAGCAGGCTCCTAGTAGCGTCGATCGTAGCGATGTTCCCGCTTATATCGAATTCGCGGTAGTAACGCCCTTCGTTAACCTAAAACCGGGCCCTCCCGTAATAGTACCGACGCTTTTCGGGCGCGGTCCTAACCTTGTTATATACCTTCTATAGGTTCCCTAGGATAAGGGGGAAGGCTAATCCTAGTACGACGTAAGCGTATACTATCTACCGGAACCCGTTGATTTCTATCTAGAAGGCGACGACTCCGACAATCTTCGCGTCCTATATCGTAGACGACGCTCCTTTTACTTCTCGGGACTCTCGGCTAATATAGCTAAGCCCGAGGCCTTTAGCTAGGCCCGTATTAATTATAGCGTAGTACTAGCATCCTTCGTCGATAAGAGTAGAAGTTCCGACGTTATTTTCGAGGACTATATCGGTATATATAAGGTTCCCGTTTATATCCTTTTTGACTTCTTCCTATTTCCTTACCCGTACTTTATCTACTCTCGACTCCTAACTCTAAGCGAGAGTTACTCTTTTCCCGAGTCGGAACTGCTTAAGTCCGACTAATCCTCCGCGTCTTCTAGTATAGGTTATACGGAGGTAACGCTAATCTTAGTAGGTTAAACCGGCGGTGCGTACGGGCAGTCGCGAATACGGTGCCCGCTCGCTCCGTAGCGGAAGTAGAGCCTCTTCTCCTTACGTTTCTCTCTCTCTATAGAGTCGACCTATTTAGCCCTAGGCTTCCCTACTGTTCCTTACTAACCTCCGCGGTTCTTCTTATAGAAGGCGTTCGTTTAGGCGGGGTTTATAACTACGTCCCCGTCGGAGTCGACCTTCGGGTTCGCCGCGGGAGCCGTATAAGGCGGGATAACTACCGAAGGGCTCGCGGTCTCCTTCTTCCTTTCTTGCTAGCGTTTCGTAGCTTGTTTAAACTAGTCCGTCGACTCGAGGTTCGTTATAATTCGCTCGACTTCCTCTACGTAGAGGTAGTAATCCTTGATCTTTAGTACGGCGGCGGTATAAGTCTTAGCCGCGTTCGAGAAGGTATTCTTTAGATATCCGATTTTCGTATCGTCGGTCTAGCGGTCTCTACCTACGCTTAGTAGGAGGCCGTCGAATTCTAGCTAGTAGTCGTACTAGGGTTGTCCCTAAGTATATCTTAGGGCTTAGAGTTGCTCTAGTGCTTTAGCGGCTTCGTTGCTGTCCGCGAAGACGTCCTTAAGTTACTAGAAGAAAGCCTCGGGGTCCTTTCCTTTCGTAAGGCTTCCTCTTTCCTAGAAGTAGCGTATCCGGGCGCGTTCCTTCGCCGGTAGAGTATCGTAGATAGTGTCCTAGTAGTAATCTTCGGAGAGCTTTAGTTTCAACCCGGAACGAACTCGGTACGAACTTCTTAGTCGTAGTAGGTAGTCCCGAAACGTCTTAGCTTTTCCGTCCTACGATAGTAGCTTCTATTCGCGTAACGCCGTTATACTTTAGCCGGTAGCCGAGAGGGTTTCTAGGAGTCCTTTTAGGATCTCGTTCGTAGACTAATCTCGTATCGTACTAGTTTCGGTAGGCCCGGCCTAGCGAGATGCTTCCGCCTATTAGAGCGCGGAGCGCGTAGCTTATAGCTAGGCTTCTATTGTCTATTACCTAGTATAGAGACTCTCGAAGGCGCGATAAATCTCATCCCTAGTTATCTCTAGCGTAGTAGGGGCAGCGTTCCCCTAGCTATCTTACTCGGGTTCCTAGCGAACCTTAGCGTTTTCTATAATAAAGATCGAACCTAATATTACGGGTAAGCAACGCGTACGTAGATGCTAGATATAAGACTCAATAGGTTCGATAAAGAGCTAAGTCTATCTACGTGAATCCGAATAGTTTTGTGCGGTACGCTAAGCGCTAAGCAGTAGGTTAGAGTCGCGTAGGCCGAATGCCTAAGGCTAGCGCTTTCTACCTAGGGCGTAGCCCTTTACAGCTTAGGGCAATAGTAAAATGACCTTCTGTGTTAATAATGGATTTCGTATTAGCAAGGCAAAGCTAATTAACAATCTCTATTATGTCTAACTTGCATCGGTCCTAGATGTAGCTAACACTCTAACAGAGATAGCCGCCGTCGAACATCTAACTGTCGCTAAAATAGATTTCGATAATGAACCATTCTAGGTTACTTATCGATCTCTAGGACACCTTAGTGCCTACAGAATGATGAAGCTAGCTAACTGTAGCACAGGCATGGCATGTACTAAGGCTCAGATCAAGGCTAAGAAGGGGGAGTGTACATGCCTAATTTGCAAATCTACACGGGCAATAGAACGCATTCCCCGAGACCCGGCAGACCGACGATATGAAGAAGTTGGAGACTTACTTCACATCGGCCACCATCTTTGATCGCGCCAGACGATGCGGCGGTATTTCAGGTCGTATGCATACCAGTCTTTTCTGCGCGGGTCATAGAACATGACTTCGCCATTTTGATAGACCCGGTCTGGTCGAAGCAGTGCAATGTCAGCATGTGTTCTCGGCAAGACGCGTCTTGTGAATTCACGCACAGGTCGGATAAGATTTCGAAAAGTTCAGAGCTTCCGGGACGGCCGGACGGTAGTGCTCTCGTTTCAGTTCGTCGTAATATACTCTTCCGATCTTGAAGTAGACGAAGCACGTTGTCTCTGGTTCGTAGCAAAAGTAGTCATGGTTGAGAGGATCCCAAACGAATGGCAGAGGTGCGGCGAGTGGTATGGTAGGAATGGGAGCAGAGAAGCCAGACGGGATAGCAAGATGCTGTGGAGGAAGCTGATATGGCAAGGGTCGAGGCTTGTATTGAATAGCCGGAGGCTTTTGATCCGGCCATTGGTGGTAGGTGTATAGTGGAACTACAGCCGCTTGGTCCATGAGTCGGTGATCGTTGTCAAGGAGCCATTTCATGCATTGTTTGGTGCAGTATCACTGGTCTGACGCTCGCCCGGGCGACAGCGCGACCTATGTAAGAACTGCATTCCTCACCCGGGACTGGCTGTCAAAACGGCACGCAGGTCACATGGGCCACGTTTGGGGCCGCCTACGAGGTGAAGGCAGTTCTTGCGATCTGCATCGATGGTAGTGACACTTGAAAAGCAGGATGTATCTGACGGTATCCTGGAAGGAATGGGTACGATAGGTGGATTTGGATTTAGATTGCAGCCCAACGCGCAGGATGTTTGACTGCAGCGTGTGGCGTGGGCTTGGGCCGCTTGCGCAGCGGACATGGGCAGAGGAGGCTCTGATGGTCGGGTGTCCCTTCGTGGCGACGACAAGGGTTCGTGGTTGCGACGATGCGCACGCGGCAGCTCCTGCGCGGGCAGCTGCAAGTCACGATCTCATGTTGCCGGTCGGCAGATTGTGGAAAGTACCTTAGTGGGAGTGGGAGGTGAAGTAGCGTAGCGTGGCGTGAGAGTTCGGAGCCAGAAATCGCGGTGATCCAACGCAGACTTCTGCTCCATTGGCTGCATGGAGAAATCTCGAGCTCCAACCTCGCAGCACACCGCACCACAGCCTTTGCACCCCAACGTGTCGCGATATTGCCATCGTGTAGGCTCAAGGCACACGCGTGGCGTGCAACACATTGGCATTGAGCTGCATCGGCGCGCCAGCAGGTCCATAGTAAGATGAGTGTCTGGGGCTCGGCGCAGACCGCCGACGGCAGGACATATTACTTCAACAAGCAGACCAAAGAAACAACGTGGACCAAGCCTGCCGATTTCGACGACTCCGAGCCGCCTGCAACGCCAGTGACACCAAGCACAGGCAATGCAGCAGATTGGGCCGAGGCCAAGACTCAGGATGGCAGGACTTACTACTACAACAAGCTCACCAAACAGACGACATGGACACTTCCGCCGGAACTTGCGCGCCAGCAGCAAGCGCAGCAGAACGGTCGACCTGACTTTGTGGCCGGTGGTGGTGGATCTAGTTTTGGAGGTGATCGAGATTTTGGCGGTCGTGATCGGAGAGATGATCGTGGCCATGGTCTGCCGCAGAAGCCATCATTTGATGGACCACGTGGTGACAGGGGCGGTGGGGGTGGCGGTATGCCATGGGAGGTAAGACAGGAAAGTATGGGCTTCCGAGGCCCAATGCCTGTGAAGACCGACGAACCCGACTACGCTACTCCCGAGCAGGCGGAAGAGGCCTTCTTCAAGCTTTTGAAGCGCAACAACATCACTGCCGAGACCGACTGGCATGACGCTCTAAGAATTGTCATCCGCGATCGCGAATACCGCGCAATCAAGGATCCCAAGGACCGCAAGATCGCGTTCGAGAAGTATCAGGCAGAGGTGAAAGCTCAAGAGAAAGAGAAAGAGAAAGAGCGCAAGACAAGAGTGCGCGAAGAGTTCCGTCGCATGCTGTCAACGCACGATGAGATCGATCACTACACCCGCTGGAAAACTGCTCGACCGGTCATTGAGCGTGAAGCGGTGTTCAAGAGTGCGGGTGACGAAGACGAGCGTCGCCGTATCTTCGATGAGTACATTTTGGAGCTGAAAAAGAAGCATGTCGAAGAGGAGACAGCCCGGCGGAAAGTTGCTATGCAGGAGCTAGATAAAATGCTCAAGGTGCTGATTATTGACCCCGACACAAGATGGGCTGACGCCGAAGATAAGATCATGAGCAACGAGCGATTTGTCTCTGATGACACATTCAAGGACTTGCCAAAAGTCGACATCTTCTTGGCTTATGAAAGTCACATGAAGGCCTTGGAACGAGTCGCCAATGATGCTATTCAGACGGAGAAGAGGAATAAATACCGCCGCCAGCGGCAAGCTCGCGATAGCTACAAGCAGCTTCTGCATGAGAAGCTTCGAGAGGGCAGAATCAAGGCCGGCACCAAGTGGCAGGATCTCTTCCCGCAAATCAAGGACGACGAGCGATTCCTCGCATACCTTGGCGTACAACAGGGCAGCGAGGCCATTGAGCTGTTCTGGGATGTGGTTGAAGACGAGGAGCGCAAGCTACGCTCGAAGCGAAACGACGCCCTCGATGTGCTTGAAGACAAGCGCTGGGAAATGACACTTGAAACATCCGTACAAGAGTTTTTGGAAGTTATGCGGTCTCATCCGAAGACAGCGAAATACGCTGAAGACGACCTCCATATGATCTACGATCGCTTGATGGAGAAGGTCAAGCGCCGGGCTGATGATGACAAGATCGAGGCTGAGCGTCACCAGAAAGTGGCAGTTGACAATCTCCGTTCTGCTATGAAGAAGCTGACTCCGCCTGTCGCTATTTCTGACAGTTACGACGACATCGCATCACGACTTGTAGGCATGCGTGACTTCGACAATGCCGATGAGGAAGTTAGGCGACGAGCTTATGATAAGTTTATGACGCGGCTTAGAGAGCGTGAGGATCATGAACGCGATCGCCGTCGCGAGCGCAGCAGGGACCGACGTCGAGATGATCGAGAGCGTGACAGAGGAGACCGCGAACGCCGCCACCGCACACGCACACCAGAAGTCGATGCATACGAAGCTGACAGGCGTAAGGCGCAGGCAGATCGTGAGAGACAGTATAGGAAGGCCTCATTCGGACTGACGCCTCCGCCACGCGACCGCCGAGACGACAGATACGATGACCGCCGCGACGATCGTCGTCGACCAGATCCACGCGATATGTATGAGCGAGAGCGCCGCGAGCGCGAACATGAACGTGAGCGTAATTATCTGAGCCGTGCTGATCCCCGCGACAAGGGCCGCACGCTTGACTACGGCGATGAGGATCAAGTGGGCAGCAGGCCTCCTTCAGTCAGGAAGAGGCGCGAGTCAGATGGAAGCATGAGCAGCAGACGCGACAACAAGGTGAGCAGAAAGCTTGCAAGACGTCTTTTGATTGATTGTTGCTAACAAATTACAGCGTCCACGCCGAACCCACTCCCCTGAACCAAGTCTCCTCAAGGAAGAGCCTCCAGAGCTGCAGAGTGGCTCTGAAGAAGGCGAGATCGAGGAAGTGTAGGATATCAATGAAGCAGGCAGCCGCGAAGTAGCGCAAAGTGGGTTGGATCTGAAAGGTTAGAGTGGCTGGTACGTATCATCGAGGAGCAAAGATGGTGTGGTTCCTGAGAAGTCGAGATATTTTGGTGCGTCCTGATCCTCCTTGATGGCATTGGTACTAAAGCAAGCCGCCCGCGCGAGAGAGACATGCGACAGGACGCCAACCAGTCATTGACAACATGCAACAACGCATCAACACACCCTAATGTTACCGAGATCGGGAAGGAAGAAGTGCAGGTGTGGTTGTGGTTTAATATTCGAGGTCGTACGTGCCAACCCATAGCGTACCTGACTAAATTACTGAGGCAAACTAGCAGCAGCGTTGAGAGATCTTTCATGCAAACGAGTGTCGTTGTATAATTTTGGTACGTAAATTGCGTGCAGGCGCTAATTCAGTACAAGCAGCTACCTACCGAGAGCAAATGAGCGTGTTCATCTCTTGGTACGTAACTCCACTGATCATTATTCCTGTTCGTTCCTCTCGTACGCCGCGACAGCTGGCGGTAAGCAGCTTCGCTGGCACCTCATTTCGCATACGTATGCGATCGCTTTCGACCACAAGGGTCCTCGTGTGTGATCTTTATATGCCTGCACAACATACAAGCATGTCGAAACACAGCAGTTAATACTCATCACTCATTCACATCATGACATGGTCATTTAGCCCAGCAACAGTTGAACTTTCCTGGCAGGACGTGATGGTGAAGGAACTCTGCACTGCAGACCGATCTCGACATCATCTTCGTCCTCGCCGGCGGCGTCCTGCTCGAGTGCTTCATCGGCGCCGCTTTTGATGGATCGCTTGCGCTTGGTGCCAAACTTGGAGCCTTTCTTTGCTGCGCTAATAGCATTTCTCATTTTCATCACAACCTCCGCGGCATCTTTCAGGAATCATCCTCCAAGAAGAAGTAGTTCCCGTTGCTCTTCTGGTCGGCGTCGAGCTGGGAGTTGTACTTGTTAATTCTTGGTCGGAAAGTATTGGGATCACGTCGGAAAGTGACGTCCAAATTCTTCAAGAAGCTGTTGCATCCGGTCAACAAACTCTCTGGGGTGTTCGCACGAGCCTTGACGGATGGCTGGCCGTCGAAGACAATGACACGATCGGCGAGATAGGTGGCCATGATGAAATCGTGCTCGACGACGAATGCGGTCTTCTTGGCGTGCATGATGAATCGCTTGATCACGCGGGCAGCGATGATACGCTGTTCGGAGTCCAGGTAGGCAGACGGCTCATCGATGAGGTAGATGTCGGCAGGCAATCCGAGCGCAAGGACGATGGCGACACGTTGCAATTCACCACCAGACAAGTTCTGAACTTCTTGGTCGATGAAGTCATCCATCTTCAGCGGCTTGTAGACATCGGTCTGGAATTGCGGGCTCAAGAAGGCGGCCTTGATCTTCTTGAAGAAAAGCTGACGGACTGTTCCGGTGAACTTGGGCGTGATCTTCTGCGGCTTCATGGAAATGTTCATAGGAGGGATCTTCTTGCCCTCATCCGGTTGCAAAGCTCCAGCCAGCATTTTACAGAAGGTCGTCTTTCCAGTTCCGTTCTCACCCATCATGACCACAATTTCAGAGTCGGTGAATGCACCAGCCTCGACAGTAAGGTGGAAAGATCCCTGGGTCTTGGTCATCTTTGGGTAGCCATAGTCGCGCGACTTGTTGATCAAAAACTCATCTGCAGCCTCTCCAACCTTGAACGTGAGCGACTCTTCGCGGAAACGCAGATTCTCTGTGGGAATGTTACCGTCCAAGAAGATGTTGATACCTTCACGGACGGAGAAAGGTGCAGTCACCACGCCGTAGACAGCTGGCTTTCCATAGAGACAGCAAATGTAGTCGGAGAGGTAGTCCAGGATAGACAAGTCGTGCTCGACCACAATGACATAGTTGTCGGGACGGAGTAGAGTGCGAATAATACGACCAGCTGCAAGACGCTGCTTGACATCCAAGAAAGACGATGGCTCGTCGAACATATAAACATCGGCCTTCTGCACGCAAACCATGGCAATTGCAAAACGCTGCAACTCACCACCGGAGAGGAGATCAATGTCACGGTCCCAGACCGGCCTGAGCTCGAGGGCATCGCAGATTTCGTCGAGTCTCTCTTGTTCCACCTGAGCACGATCAGTGATCAGGGCGCCGACAGCACGATTCTTGCCCTTGACGGCCTTGGGGATCTGGTCCACGTATTGTGGCTTCGTGACGGCCTTGAGGTTGTCCTCGAGAATCTTGGTGAAGTAGTTCTGCAACTCAGAACCTCTGAAGTATTTCAAGATCTCTTCCCAGTCCGGTGGGTTATCATATCTTCCAAGGTTTGGCTTCAGCTTTCCAGCCAAGATCTTCAATGCTGTACTCTTTCCGATGCCGTTCGTTCCTACTAGACCCAGCACTTGATTCGGTCGTGGCATAGGCAGTCTGTGCAGTTTGAAGGAGTTTGCGCTGTAACGGTGAGTGACCTGAGTCTCGAGGTTGGTGGGCAAGTTGATGATGTTGATGGCGTCGAATGGGCACTTCTTGGGACAGATACCACATCCTATGCATAGTCGTTCGGAAATGAAGGCGATTTTGCTGGTGGGGTCGACTTCGATGCACAGCTTGCCAGTGCGCACCACAGGACATGACTTCTTACACTCCTGGCGGCATTTCTTGGGCTTGCACTTGTCCGAGTTGACAATGGCGATACTGTAGGCTTCAGTCAGATGCTGTGTGGTTTTCTGGGTGATTCCGGGGTGTGAGCACGCAGCACGCACCGAGTGAGTTTGTCGGACATGCTGGGCAACCGTTCTCGAATTTCCTTGTGGGCTCAGCGAAGAACAATACCAGGAAGTTCGAAAAGACACGCCAGGCGCTGCTCGCTCGCTCGCTGGGCGGCGCGGTGGAAGAAGGTGCTGCTGACGGTGGGCAGAAAGCAGGACAGCGATGGGGAGGGGAGGGGAGGCAGAGTCACAAATTTCGAGGCGGTGGTGCTTGTGTAAAGTGGATTCGGGAGGAATTGATAGGCTGCGAGGACGGGTGTGGGCGTGGGCTGTTGGCTGTGCATGTGCGTCGCCGCAACTGAGCATATGAAGATGACTACACCATACATGCATTTCACGTGCTCCCGCGATCTTGTTTGTGCAACGGCTCATGAACCATGATCCATCTACAGGCACACATATCACTGTAGCAAGCATGACATTTGTCGTGTGTACGGCGTGCTGGTAGAAAACAATTTGATTAAAGCTTCATTGAATAATCGATGCGGCTGCGACTCGGGAGTCGGGAGCAGCCTAGTTCTCGATTTGCTTGGCATTCCCAGAACTACCGTAGTCGGCTTCGTGCTCGCTCTCTGGCTCAGGCTCAGGACGCTCGATCGACTTCTGCTTCTCACTTCTCCCACCCAACCACAACACCCCATACCGCTCATTGCTGCCACCGAGGCCAGTGCAATCATGGCCTGTAAGTGATCACCTCCCGCACTTTTCTGCCTTGCCTGCGCGCAAATCCCGCTTCCTTCGACCCGAGTCGGCCTCCCAGCTCAGCCATCACATGCGCCGCCATATCGACATATTCCATCGCCAGACCTCCTCGAATCACCCCGGAGCGCCGACAGCAAGATTCTGTGGCATATTCAAACCTGTGGAATCGCGTAGCAGGTCGTTCGCGTCGTCGGAGCTCGTCTGCGGCGCTCCAGAGTCGCCCTCCGTCATCCCATCACCAGCCAACATTTTTCGGTCGACCATCCTCGCAAAGGCATTGACACTGGAACTGCTACCGTTTGGAAGGGGAAAGCGGTCGCGTAGTGCTGCTCGAGGCTCCTGCCAATTTTGAGCCTGCGGCGACCACTCAAGCCCGAGATATTGTACTGACCTGTCCTATTCCAGCGGGGCCTCTGCTCGTCCCTACACACTCTCACGCCTCTAACGACATGTCCATGACCAATGGACACTCGTCCGAGGCCGATGCAGACCTCTTGAAGCCGTCGCCTCAACCCCAACGCAGTGAGAGCGAACTCTCCGACACGAACGACATTCCTACCACTACCATATCATCAACAACTGCTCCGCAAGATGAAGTCATGTCTGATGACGATGCCATCCACGACATGGCAACCTCTGAACTCGACGAGGATGAAGATGCTCCTGGCGAAGAAGATGCAGACTTTGACATGGAAAGCCCGCCGCCTGCGCCTGCCGAGGCTATGGACCGCGACAGATCATCGTCTGAACCGCATTCGAGACCAGGCAAGCGGAAAGCAGATATGGATGACGAAGAGATTTACATGAAGGAGAACCCCGAGCTGTATGGCTTGCGGCGTAGCGTACGTTCTGAAAAGCCTGAAAAGTCTCTTCTCTTGCTAACACCTCGCTGCCAGGGCCGAGCAAGACCTACTAGGAGGGTAGTAAGTGCTTCCATGGCCTTTCACGCTTCCGAAATTGACTAAAACATTCTGCAGGTCGATAGCTCCGACGAAGACGAAGATAACGACGATGATGCTGTTAACAGCGGCAGACGTCGGAAACGTCAAAAGCTCGCAGGCGGCCGACCAGGTATGTCGCTTTTACTTGCGCCGCCCTCCTGCTGTCGAGTCCTCTGACATGATTGTGTAGCTTCCTTTCGCGAGGAGCGAGACTCGTCGCGCGCTGCCACCTCTGACGCATCTGTGTCGGAAGACGACACATATGGCGGCCAGCGCGGCCGAACGTTTGCAAAGAAGCATCGACAAAAGATGCAAGCCATTGCCTCGGGCTCTGGAACTCCCCAGCTGAGCGAAGTCCGCTTTTCGTCACGGCGTGCGGCCAAGGTTACTACCTATAACGAAGACGAAGGCTTCGACTTCAGCGAAGAAGACACCGAGAACATGACGCCGAACTACTACTACGCAGAAGAGGACACCCGACCATCTATAGACCAAGTGCTGAATCATCGGTTGCTCGAGGGAGTCGGTCCGTTCTTGACTAAATTGCAATTACTACTGGGAGAATGCTAACACAACTCATCAGAATCTCAAGCTCCCGACAAGCACGAGTATGAGTTTCTCGTAAGCATTTCATCAGGCCATACATTCTCTTTCAGCGACTAACAGCATTCGCAGATCAAATGGCAAGATCAGGCACACTACCACGCGACATGGCACAAGTGGGCAGATCTCACAACCTCTCGTGGCTTCCGTCGACTAGAAAATTACTTCCGCAAGATTGTGAAGGTGGATCAGCAGGTCGCCAACGATCCGAACGTGCCACCCGAGGACAAAGAGCGTTGGAACCTCGATCGAGAAGCCTACCTCGACTCGCTGATCGACTACAACAAAGTGGAACGTATCATTGGTGCAAGAGATGGCGAAGAGGGAACCGAATATTTCGTCAAGTGGAAAGCTCTCTTCTACGACTCCTGCACATGGGAAAAGGGTGAGCTTATCAGCCAGATAGCACAGGGCGAGATTGATCGCTTCCTCGATCGGTCCTCGAAACTCCCAGTGTCGGACAAGACTGAGCAAAACCCTCACACGCGGTCGAAATACGTGCCGTTTAGGACTCAGCCGTCATATATCAAGGGCGGAGAGCTTCGAGAGTTCCAGATTCATGGATTGAACTTCCTGGCTCATCACTGGTGTAGGGGCAACAATGTCATCCTCGCAGATGAGATGGGTCTGGGAAAGACCGTGCAGACGGTCTCGTTCATGAACTGGTTGCGGTACGATCGTCGTCAACAGGGACCGTTCATTGTGGTCGTTCCGCTTTCTACCATGCCGGCCTGGGCTGACACCTTCGACAACTGGACACCGGATCTCAACTATGTGGTGTACAATGGCAACGAGGCTGCTCGCAAGGTCATTCGCGAGTACGAACTTCTCGTCGATGGCAACCCGAAGAAGGTGAAATTCAACGTGCTTCTAACGACATACGAGTACATCCTGGCCGACGCCACCTTCCTCTCACAGATCAAGTGGCAGTTCATGGCTGTTGACGAAGCACATCGCCTGAAGAATCGAGAGTCACAGCTATACGCTAAGCTCATGGACTTCGGCGCTCCAAGCAGATTGCTCATCACCGGCACACCTATGCAAAACACCTTGAGCGAGCTTTCCGCGTTGATGGACTTCCTCATGCCTGGCAAGATTCACGTGGAAGAAAATATTGATCTCACTTCAGAACACGCCAGCAAGAAGCTCGCAGAGCTTACAGATGCCATCTCGCCTTACATGATTCGTCGCACCAAGCAAAAGGTCGAGAACGATTTGCCACCGAAGACCGAGAAGATCATTCGTGTTGAGCTGGCTGATGTGCAGTTGGAGTACTACAAGAACATCTTGACTCGCAACTATGCTGCACTCAACGCCGGCAATAAGGCCCAGAAGACTTCTCTGCTCAACATCATGATGGAGCTGAAGAAGGCATCGAATCATCCCTTCATGTTTCCCAATGCCGAGGAGCGCATTCTGGCAGGCAGCGAGGCACGAGAAGACCAGCTCAAGGCACTTATCACGTCCAGCGGCAAGATGATGCTCATCGACCAATTGCTCATGAAGATGCGCAAGGACGGCCACCGCGTGCTGATCTTCAGCCAAATGGTCAAAATGCTCGACATTCTTGGCGACTATCTTCAACTACGTGGCTACCAATTCCAGCGCCTTGACGGTACCATTGCGGCTGGTCCTCGACGCATGGCTATCGATCACTTCAATGCGCCCGACAGCCAGGACTTCTGCTTCCTGCTTTCCACCCGTGCCGGTGGTCTGGGCATCAATCTCATGACTGCCGACACCGTCATCTTGTTCGACTCCGACTGGAACCCACAAGCGGATCTTCAGGCGATGGCCCGAGCACATCGCATTGGACAGAAGAAGCCTGTCACTATCTATCGGCTTGTCTCCAAAGATACCGTGGAAGAAGAAGTGCTTGAACGTGCTCGCAATAAGCTGATGTTGGAATTCATAACAATCCAACGAGGTGTCACCGACAAAGACGCTCGAGAGCTTGGTGACCGCATGGCTCGGGCTGGCGCGAGCGTCGTGGAGCCAACTTCTTCCGATGACATTTCGCGTATCTTGAAGAAGCGAGGCCAGAAGATGTTCGAGCAGTCGGGCAACCAGCGCAAGCTCGAAGAGCTGGACATTGACGCGGTGCTGGAGAATGCTGAAGAGCACAAGACCGAGCAACCGGAAGGCATGACCACAGACGGTGGCGAAGAGTTCTTGCGCAGCTTTGAATACACCGACGTCAAGATCGACCTCGAGTGGGACGAAATTATTCCCAAATCAGAACTTGACAAGATCAAGGACGAGGAGCGTAAGAAGCAAGAGGAGGAATACCTTGAGTCTGTGATCGAGCAGAACCAACCACGCAAGCGTAAGGCAGCTGCAGGTGGTGAGGAAGGCCGAGATCAACGCGCTGCGAAGAAGCGGGCTCGCGAGGCCAATATGCAGCACATGGACGAAGAAGGTTCTGGCGACGACGATTCCGACCACGGCGCGGATCCGAGGCGACCCCTTGGCGAGAAGGAGTGCCGACACCTCATCCGCGCATACGAGCGCTTTGGCGCCTTCGAAGACAAACAAGATGACATCATTAAGGAGGCTCGCTTGATCGGCCGCGACATCAACATTGTCAAAGATACTCTCAAAGAAGTCATCGATACTGCTATTCGACTGCAGAAGGAACACGCAGACCAACTGGCTGAAGCAGAGCGCACCACTGGCAAGGCTGTGACGAAGAAAGAGAAGAAAGCCGTGCTCTTTGACTTCCGCGGTGTCAAGCGTTTGAATGCACAGACACTCACTGAGCGGCCAGAGGAGATGCGCATGATTCGCGACTGCGTAGATCAGATCTCGGACTGGCGTAACTTTCGAGTTCCCGAGGCTTCGAAGCCTGCGTCATACACCTGTGAATGGGGTGCGAAGGAGGATGGCATGCTCTGTGTTGGTATTGCTCGACATGGATATGGCGCATGGGTGCCTATTCGGGACGACGAGGAGCTTGGTCTTGCAGACAAGTTCTATTTGGAAGAGCACCGCGTCGGAGCAAAGGAGGCCCGTAACAAAGAAGGTGACGACACCAAGGTGGCCAAGTCGCCTGGCGCCGTTCATCTGGTCCGCCGCGCCAACTACCTGCTCAGTGTTCTTCAGCACAAGACGAGCAATGGCACGAACATTGCTGCCAAGAAGGCGCTGGAGAATCATCACCGCAATAACCGCAAGCATCTGGGCCAGTTTCACGGTCGCATGGCTACACCAGGCAGCCCAGCTCCAGGAGGTATTCGCAAGCAGCATTCGAGCGACGGTAGGAGATACCACCAATCCGACATTCGCAACAGCGGGGACCGCCGCACACCGCATGGGTCTCCCAATGGTCACCGAGACGATCGCTATCGCCCGCGTCATTCAGAGGAACGCCGGCCCCAGCATCAAAGGAATGGAAGCTCGCATGCAAATGGTACACCTTCCCGACCACTGACCGAGAGCGAGCAGCGCTGTCGCAAGATTCTCGACCCTATCAGCGCCACGCTTGTCAAGGTTTCAGGTGCTACCAAGAAGCGTATTCCGGACGACGATGCACGCCTCAAGATGATCAAGCTCGGAATTGTTGGCATTGGAACCCACATCAATTCGTACATTCGGCAACACGATGACCGCTCGTTGGAGGACACGCTCTGGGACTATGTCTCTGAGCACCACTGGCCACAGTCGAAAGCTGCCGATAAGCGGGTGCCAGGACACAAGTTACGGGATATGTACAAGAAGATTGCTGGAAAAGACAGCGCAGCTGGTGGTTCCAAGCCCAGTCCTGTCAAGCCGAAGCCGACTGCATCATCGCCGACAAATGGCGAGGCGGCCAAAGCTGAAAGCGTTAAGACTGAGCCCAAGTCGGAGGCCAAACCTGAGTTGAAGTCCGAGCCCAAGAATGACACCGATGCTGCCCCGAAGCAGCCTGATCTGTCAGCGCAATCGCATGAGATCAAGGAGAATTCACTCTCCCCTAAACCCAAGATGGAAGCCAGCGAGCCAAAGCCTGAGCCCAAGGCCGATATCGAGTCTCAAGCTGCTGCGGTTGTTGAAGACGAAAAGTAGTCCTTACACTTGCTACCGCCTTGGTCGCTCGCTTCTGTTTAAGCGGCCTCCACGCAATACACATCACTATTCACGACCACACTATGACTGGAGAAAGAGCATCAGGAAATGGGGTACAAAAGAAGATACAGAGATGCGCTTGTTTCGCGCACATTTGAGCATCTGAAGAGCGCTTAGCTGCTCTGTTGGTAAAAGCGACGGTGTTAATTGGCGGAAGTGTTCATCCTCTGGCATTACACAGACCACACGTCGGCGAAACGTGTCTGTAAGGGCGTTCGTTATTGTTGATTGAGCATTATGCTGTTTCGTAAATAAGAGGAAAGGAGATACGTGGAATGATCAGTACCAAAGTACGTGTACTTCTAGATATATCTAGGCATATCAATATGCCAGAAGAGCCACAGAAAGCAGGCTGTGAAGGCCTTTGGAACGTCGATCCAACATACGCACAGACCACAAATTTCTTAATGCGCGGCCGAAGCTCAACTTCCAAGTCCGAAGCTGGCGACCCCAACTTTCTCTTTTGTTCTGTGCGCATGTGAGAACCTCTGCGTCGCCAATACTCACACGACTGCAACCAGACCTGTCGCGATCGCAGGAACTACACGGCGCATCATATCTCCACCGTCATCCCATCGCGCAACCCCTCACGCGCCATCCTCCAAAATGTCTCTAAACAGCTACTTGAACAGTAAGTCCCTCTCTCCCACCTCACACATTCATTCCCCCACCATAGCTAAACAGTGCCATTCTACAGCAACAATGCGATCAACCCTTTTGAAGAGAGACATATGAAACTAACCAAACCTCTCATCCCCAATAGAAAAAGTCTGCCTGATCCTCGTCGACGGCCGCTGTATGGTCGGCAACCTGATTTCCTGCGATGCAGTCACGAATTTGGCGCTAGAGAATTGTGTGGAGAGGATTGTTCGGGGACATGAGGAGGAGGAGGATAGTGAAGAGGAGGAGAGGGGACTGTTTATGGTGAGAGGGGATAATGTTGTGGTTTGTGGACTTGTCGATGAGGAGTTGGATGGGAAGATTGATTGGAGGAAGGTTAAGGGGAGTGAGATTGGGAGTACGAAGCATGTTTGAGGCGGTGAGAGTGGAGGATGAGGGAATGATACCATGGGTGTGAGGTTTGGGTCGGGTTGGAGAGGATATGCTTTCCGCATCATCGGCCTCCAGCGTGAAGATTTGGTCGAGGGAGTCACATCGGATCAAGAGCTCGTGCGAAGAGAATGCGTGATTTTACGACGTCGAGCGTCTGCATCGTTCAGCTGAGAAAGAGATGTTAGAGGAAGGCACTGATGGAGCGAGGTCGATACCCCCACGCCGTATACTCCTCCAACTATATACAGATCCAAGAGCCGCGCAAATCAGCGCAGCAAAATTCATAAAATTTGCCTGAGCTGCCAAAGCTCAGCCGCCCATAATTCATCAAACGAACAGTACAGCCCTGCCATCCCTAAATGCTCTTCTGAGATGTCCGAGACTATCCACTTCTGAACGAGAGCTTCCCAGAAAGACTCGATTTTGCAAGCGATAGTACTCCGACGCCTTTATTACTCAACGATCGCATAAAAGTTGCCGAATCGACAAGCGTAGACCGCGCTGAAGTGACATGGCGGTGCGCACGAGTTTTTCAAAGCTCATGCCTTCAAATTGCTCCTTGGTCAGAGCGACTTCGCGGGAAAAATGTTGTGCCATGGTGCTGGCGAGGCTGTGTGGATTCGGCGGGCCATTGGGAGTGAATCCAGCCGCTTGTGCATAGGTGCGTTTCACACCGACATGCGCTCCTCCGTCATGGGGAATGGATCCAGTCACTCCTCCGTCGGTGCTGTATGCATTGCTCGTTTGGATATTCCCGTTGTTCGCTCCACTCGGCATCCCGTTCGCTATGTTTCCATTCGCTCCTCCATTGGTCCCATTACCATTGCGCACTTGAGTGTTTGCATTGTTCGCTGCGCGAATAGCTTGCATGTGATCGACTCTGATGTGCATAGCCAACGTTCGAGCCACGTCTCGGACCTTCTTGAGAGCAGTCTGGATTTGGGGCAAGTCCATCCGATGAATCTCATCGTCCGTCAGTGCAGCTTCGAGACCGATTCCGTTATTCGTGAGCTGTGCCTGTTCTCTCTGCTTCTGAGCTCTGACTTCCTGTATGCCCTGTCCCAGCGCCATAAAACAAGCCATCATGCGTTGGAACTCGGGGGACTCGTGCTGAGTCTCTCCGCGATTATGTGCTTCTTCTAAATTATGCGATGCCTTTAGCAAGAAGGGCTCCTCGCGCCCGACTTCCGTACATGCCCTTATGATATCAGCTCGCGCTAACATGAGTTTGGGAGCGTTCGGATTATGATTGATCATCGCGTGTAGCTCGCGGACCATGTCGTAGTCTTGGGTAACAAAATTCCTTTGCATGGCATGGATGTAGGTCGTAACTGAAGCTGGGTCAAGGTGGGCAGTCTGTGCGCGTTCGGCGCGGTCGAAGAAGGACAGACCATCTCGAGACAGCAGATCGACTTCGCCAGGATCAATCGTGATATCCCGCGGCATGAGCAGATACTAGTCTGGTCTGAGCAGAGGGCGTTGTTTGTCCGACATGGTCGCTTGAAAGACTTTGCAAGCTCTTCGAGGTGATTTTGACTACGCAACAGGCTTCGTAGTCGAGTTGTCGAGAGTCCACTGCACTAACCGCGCCTCTCGGAAGGGACGAGCGAGGAACTAAGTATGAAGTTGATGCTTGTGTGTGGTAAAATGCTGGGTCCTGCTCGACAACGATATGGGGTAGCGTTGCTGTCAATGTGTTTGTGTGAAAGAAGAGATCTGAAAGAAAGAAGGGAAATGCTCGCAGTTGACAAAAGTATCGTTGGCTCCTGCGCATCTCTGCTGAATCGCTCTTTACTCCTTGTGAAGTGTTCTTCCAAGTCCTGCCTACGCAAGTGCACAATCTCTTTTTATACAAGCTATTGTGTCACAATTTAAGCAGTATATCAGAACTGAAGAGAAGCACGACAACAAGATGCACGAGATTGTAGTTAAAATCAAGGTCTCGACCAATTGCGATTGCTCCGGTCCTTTTCCGTGAAGCATGTGGCACTTTCCACCATGCCACTACCTGTAGTCTTATGCCTAGATGAGGCACTGAACTTTTCTCCATCTGTTCTCCCGATATGTCTCCAGTGTCATTCTTCGCGGCCGATCCCATTCTTGGCGCCTTCTTGTAGCTCGGACTGAATTTGTGCTTGTATGGCTCAACTCCTCGAAATATGAATGTCAGAGGACGAAGGTCGTCTGGCTGCCTCCTAGGCCTTCTCCTTGGAAAGGAAGCACGACGTGAAGAGTCGTTGCAATTGCTACTGTCCGGTATCTTAGGATCACAGAGCGCTTTCGCCCATTCCGGCATTGGCAGTCTCTGGTTCGAAAGCAGAGCGTCCTCATTAGCTTGATCCGCTTCCAATTGCTTGCGGTCTTCCTGAATGGTCCATTCGAAAGCATTGATTCGGGATTTGATGTCTTCCAGCAATAAGTCAAGTTCGGAGTAGACCGGAGGGCGAAAGTCGAGCTTGGAGTCCTCGCGAGGTCTCGCTTTCATTTCTTGGGAGTGATCACTGCTTTCGGAAGCATCGCAGGTCGAGGAGGACCATGCAGATGTGATCAACCTGCTTGAACCAAAGTATAGAGACCGTGGAATTGGTGGCGGCAAGATGTGATCGTCCTCTCCTAAAGCATTGCTCTCATTTAGATCCTGTTCAACACTATACGGTCCACTGCGGAATCTGGACGTGTTCGTAGACACTATTGAAAGCTGTCGATTGGAGCGCCAGCGCCCGGGAGACATATCACTCCCAGCTCCATCGCCTTTGGGGCCGACGTCCTCTTCGTCGTCGTCTATGCGCGAGTGGCAGCTAAAGTAGGAGCTGGAGGTGTTGCTCTTCCGGCTTGATGTCCTGGTCCACATAGACGCCGCAGCGTCGGCCATGATGAGCAATGCTGCTTGCTGTTCATTTGCAGCAAATTAAGAAACATTGCTTTCTGGACCCGGGTCAATTTCATGCTGCGTGGCCGTTCCAAGAACTGTGAATTGGTGGTAGGCTCAGTAGATAACCAAGGGTGCTTTGAAAGTAACCTCAATTTTGGGCGTCTTCGGATGCCGACTTGGAAACAATTCTCAGTCCGAAGTTCACTCGAACTCGTCGAAGGACCGAATGAATATCATCTGCTTGCCGCACAGCTTGCAAGCTTTTGGACCCTGTGTCCATCCGTGAAAAGTCTCGTTGTGGTAGTGTATGAATTCTACGACCTTGTTCACAGCTTGTATCAAAAGCCCTTCCTCTTGGCGGAGAGCGCTGACAAAGTCGGCCACTGACCAGAGTTTGTTGATTTTCCAATCTGGACATTGTGCACTCACGAGAATTTCCATCTCGCACTCGCAGGCTAAAGGGTGCAGTTGCCGGGCGATCCTCGTCACTCGTACATGACCGGAGGACGTCAGGCTGAGGATAGTTTCGTCTGGTACGTGTTCCCAACCCGCACTGGCGTTGTAGTACCAAGTCCAGTGTTTGAGGCATATCTTTCTTGCTGCTGATGCTTCATCATTCTTTTCTTCAATCCAGCGCTGCAGAGCGTCGCCACCAGACTCGCCTTTTAGATCAAATTGGAACGTGTTCGCTTTGTAGAACGTGGGAAGCATGGCGGCCAGTTCCTTTTGGAGTCTGGGAAATATGCCCAACAGGACGGGCAAGCCGGCCTTCAAGTAGCTCTCTTCAACGTGGTCACCACCACCAAGTTCTTCTCCTGTCGCTTTGAACACAGGAGAAATGGGATCGTCTTCTGCCGCTGAGTACTCGTAGATGAGTTTGCGCACCTCCAAGGGTAGATCGAGAAGTGTTGTGCGTCTTGATCCCGTGTTGCTTGGTCGTCTAGAATTGGTTCTGCTGGTAGGAGTCGAAGGTGTCGGAGGCTCATTTCGAAGCAACTCCTGTAAATATGATTGACTTGGGTGACACTCCGGAAGCTCTTCGATGGCTTTCTGTATCCACATCGTCGTTGCTAGGCACGTACGCAGCTCCGAGCTAGGCCCTTGAAAGGCACGGATGTCATCTTTGGAGGCAAGGGCTCCTTGTCGAAGAGGGTTCTGCTGCTTTTTTTGATCTCGTTTGATTGCGAAGTTTGTTCTTGTAACATCCCTATTGGGCTGCAGTCTCTTTAACATGTGTTGGCAGTGTTTCATGTCTGCTGTAGTGTTGGTATGGCTGAGAGAGAAGAGAAGAGGGGAAACATTATTGGGCAGCTGAAAAGCTGTGATGTACGATGGTGTCTCTGGAAAGGCTTTATGGGGTTCATGCATGTCTTACGGATTCAGCTAGGGTAGGCTTGATTCAATAGCGCCATATGATAGAGTAGTTACTAGTCAGCGGCTCGTGCCCCGGATGAGGTGAGGACGAAATCAGACAAGAGTGTGTGAGACGACAGTAGTGTATGGTGCATGCTGTAGGCTGAGAGCGTGCATGGCGGCCTGTCACCAAATGCAACTTTGCAAGACCCTCACCCATGCATCTTCATCCGCCACTCGGGGCCTCAGGCCTCGTCGAACGGCATGTGATCGAATCCGACCACTGTGCTACCGTATCTCATCTCTCCACGTGCTCGTTCTTCGGAATAACGAAGCCGTCGAAATGACACAGCAGTAAGGTGGAGGTGGAGAAAGCAGGAGAAAGGGTGGAGGGTGTGGCAGAAGGAAGTTTCGGCCCTGAGCGCCGCCGCCAAGCACTCTCGACCTGCAATCGCGAAACTGACGCGACCTTTGCACCTCTCAATCGTCAGCTTCAGCATTATCAAACTATATCGTCCCTGCAGGTGGAGAGACATCTGCTGTGACATCTGGATCGCTGGCGATTCTTACCGCAAAATGCCCGGCCGCAAGAGCAATGTGTCGACCACATCCAACGGTCCCGAGGAGGTAGTCGACACCACTCCGTCAGCGCCCAAGCAGAGCAAGGAGAAGGAGGGCTTCAGTGTCGATGTGAGCACTTCGGTCGTGGCATCTCGATCCATGCTGACCAGTCGTAGGATCTCAGCTTGCCAAAATGTAGGCCTCCAGGCAAGACCTTGGCGAGACAGTGTCGCTGACCTGCTGCAGCAATGATTTTGCGATTAGCCAAAGGAGTCTTGCCCGCCAACACTCAAATACACAAAGATGCGCTACTCTCCATGCACAAGAGCGCCACGGTGTTTGTGAGCTACATTGCTTCGAAGTGGGTACTTTCTCGGAAAGAACGCTGCTATAAACGGAGCACAATTAACCAGTACACAGCTCCAACGACAACGCACAAGCTGGTGGCAAGAAGACAATATCGCCTCAAGATGTCATGGCTGCACTCAAAGATGCCGAGCTTGAAGGCTTCTTGCCACGTCTGGAAGCTGAGCTTAAAAGTACATTCCCTGCTTTTCTGAGATAGTCTTCGATACATTTGCTGACTGCAGCAGAGTACAACGAGACACAGTGCGACAAGCGCAACACATATCGGCGGAAAGTCAAGGAGGAGAAGGCCGCCGCAGCTGCCAAGGACGGCACCGATGCTGATGTCTCCATGATATCCAAAGATGGTGAAGCAGCGAAAAGTGCGGAGGACGGAGCTGTCAATCATGAAGGTGATGATGAGGATGCTGGACGACCGGCTAAGAAGCTCAAAGGCGCAAATGGGAGCGCTGCTGCACCCCAAATGTCTGACGACGTGGATGACGATGATGGAGACGATGAACAGGAAGCTGAAGATAATGACGACGACGCTGATGAAGACGGAGCAGAGGACGACGTTCCAGACGAGGAGTCAGACGACGGAGACCAAACTATGGAAGACGCTCTTGAGGAGCAGCCCGACCGAAGGGCGTTGCGGGATGAAGCTCTGGACGATCCAGACAGTGACTGAAACCCCTGTGCTTGCTTAGAGTGTGAGAGCATTTGAAAATGGATTTCCGACGGCTGTCGTTGCTCAGAGCCCCGCACATCTACCTCAAACTTCGCACATTGCCTGGAAAATCGTTGTAATCCTCATGTCCAGTACACGCTTGCATTTCGGGATGGTCTCGGCGATCTCGCTCGCAGAATTTCGAGGCGTGTAATGATGGGCGTCTATAGACGATTTAAATTTCGTCTCGGCAACTCCCGCAAGCAGTTTCGTGACTACGATCAGGTCATGGAGTCCACATTCGTCGATCGAACGCCAATCTAGCGCGTCCCCCCAGTCGACGTATGCGAAGGTACCGTTCTTAGAGACAAATCCAAGACATGCCTATAATAGGATTCGTATGTGGGTGTTCGTGTAAGACGTTGGCTATTAGGTGAAATTGGCTAAACGCTAAGGCAAGGCATTAGGGATACAAGGTAAACCTCTTATTGATATATTCTATTATTCGGATTCTAACTCTAATTAGTAAAGCTTGACCTATCTTCTATCTAACGCCGAGTCTTCGCTATTTGACTTTTCTCTCCGATAATACTATCGTATACTACTACGACGAACTATATCTCGTCGATTAGCCGGGTTCTAGTAATATACGCAATATCGTCTTACTCGATATAGTAGATTATTATTATAGCCGGCCTAAGTGCATTTGCGCTAATTGTTGCCCTTTCTCGCTATTATACCCGCGGTAGCCCTTATAGTACTAACTTCGCTTCGTCTTCTCGGCGGAGCCGTTACTCGAGATAGAGGAGAGGAAAGAAGTATCGCAGTCTTATCTCTATCGAAGTACTCTATAATTTTCTTTTAGTTCGGGCCCTCTGCCGTTATAAGTAGCTCCTTATCCGCACGCTTACGCTTACCGGTCTCTACCTATCCCGGCGTAGCGAATGTATCGTTAAGATTTCCTATAGACTAAGGCCCTTTAGCATTAATCTTAGTATTCGGCAGCTAGATTTAATCGTCGGATCTCTTCGCTTAAAACTTAGATTTCCTTATAAGAGGCTCGGTTAGCTAAGCTATTATATTAAGGCCGGGTTCAAGCGAGCTAGTAGAGGCTATAAGGTTAATAGAGCTTTTCTAGCGAACTGTCGGCGGAGTATATGCTTAAATATCTTTGTATATAGAAGCATATATAGCTCGTACTCGACCTATATGCTTTAGTTCGTAGAAGCTATATTTCGGACACTTAGAAACCTGAACTTACTAAAAGCATCGGTAAGCCTACTAAAGATTGCCTAAGCATTATTACTGCTTGCTACCTTATGCTCTCCTACCCTATCGAGAAGGTTGTATACGCTACGATCCTATACAGCTATGTATATACGTGCTATAGTAGTAAATAGCGAAGTAGTAGCTTTGCCTACTAGTGTAGTAGGCATATGCACGGTAGTACTAGGAGGTAATATAGACCCGGTTCTGCTATCGTAAGTACCTAAAGGTATATCAGTCCGACTTAAGTAGCTTAATAGTGCTTCTACTTGCTATTAACTATTGTAATAGCGTTACTAAGGGCTTGTACTACGTATTTACTCTAAGCTGTTCGTCCTAGCTACCCCACTTGCTAGCCAATTATTAAAGCAAGTAGACTAACGATAGTAGGAAGAGGATATAGACTTAAGCCGGAAGGACAAATAGTAGCTATAATCCGTCGTATGCCGTAACTTAGCTCGTTAGAATTCGGGCTGTCTCTAAAGATAGCAAATTAGTCGAGAACCTAGAAGAGTCTAAGTAAAGATCTATATAATACGTTTAACCTTTTAACTTACGTAGTATCTCAAGCGTCGATTATTTAGTACGGCTTAATAAGTCTACTCTACTTAATATTCGGTAGCGCGTCCTACTACGATTGCTTCGATGTTAGTATTAACCTTAGTACGAACGTCGTTATCTATTTTAGTCAAGTTGTAAGCTCGATATAAAGAATACTAGCATAATAACAATTCTTATTAATATTATATAGAACCTTTAAATGTCTTCCGATTAGCTATAATAGGCAATGTTTTTGTAAACGCAACTCCCTTATTATGCGCTCTAGTAATAGTATCTTATCGAGATATACTATATATAGTATTGCGCTCGTCTTTGTCTTACGAACGTAATGTCTCGGCCCGCCGAGGCCTTAATTATTCGAGTCCGCTACCTTCGACGATCTTCCGCCGCGGCGATCGAGTATACCCTTATCCGAGGCAGACTTGCGTACAACTATACTCGTTATTATTTTACTAGTCTAGGTGCTCGTTACAAGTTACTTACGACCAAAATCCTATCCGGCCTAGTATATAGTACGCGGTATTGTATATAGCAGTCTAGTATCGAACTCTCTATTAATCTCTATACCTAGAAGACTAATAATACGAACTAGACCGTTAGCCTCTAGGAGGTTATGTAGGTTCTACTAAAGGGACCCTTCCTTAGTAGACCTCCTATCTATAATGTAACTAAGAGGATTCTCCTCGCAGCTATCGGAGATTAGGAAATTAGTCTTATTAAACTTTATAGTATACTGCTCTTTGTTCGGCTAGAGGCCCTTCGTCTCCTAATTAAGCTGCACTTAGTAAAAGTATTGCTCTGCCCTATACTTATAATCAATCTTCTATATAAACTTCTTCTCGTATATCTTTAGCTAGTACGATAGCTAGTATAAGACTAAAGGAGCTATCGAGCCTTAGCCTTAAGTCTCCGCAATACGCATTGCTAGAGTATTAGAGCAGCCGATAGCTAGGAAGTGCTGTTTAGAAGCGGCTCGGCGTGTATGTTCGGGCCGTAGAAACAGTAGATAGCCTACGTCTACGTTCGATCGCTCGGAAGACATATCCTAGAAGCGAAGAGCAATAGAGCGATTGTCGCGGATGTCCTTCGAGAAACAGAATCTTAGAAGAATCCTATGCTCTAGGAATATCTTGACTTCGTATTCGGTCTAAGTATGCCGTACTAGAAGATAGTCTCTAAATAGATACTACGGATCTAGTAGAAAGAGGATTATTAAGTGTTCTTACGTACAAAGCGTATTAAGCTATACTAATAGCTATAGTAGACAGAGGTCGTACTTAGAGCGGCTAGTATTATTAGTCGTTTCGTAGTCTCTAACGTCTTCCGCAGCTAACGGCTTACGCTAGTTCGAAGTAAGCAATTCCGTTACGTCGTCTTCGGAAGTAGCTAGAGATACTCGAAATATAGCCTCCCTCTTTTGCGCTTCTTTAATAGCTTTATCGCTTTCTTTTGCAATGTAATTTAGTATTACGGAGAACTATATATCGTCGACGGGGTAGGTGTGCTTTATTAAGGTTTCCTATAGTACGGCATTTAAGTCGTCTGCCTAGTAGTCTTCGATATAGTTGCGAGCTAGGCAGATAATAAACTCTCGGCCTTAGAGTTAGAGGAAGAGAAAGTGCTATTGTCTGCTAGCTAAGTAAGGTGATCGCTTGCTAATCTCAAATACCGATACTTTATACTCTGCGCGCAGTAGGATACTACTCCCTTTTAGCTTAAGTAGGAAGTTATAGATATATAGCTAGATCGGATAAAGGTATACGCGATAGCTACGTTTAGTAAATTCTTACTAAAGGCTAGACAAGGTGTAGAACGATCCTATCTACTATATATTGTTCTAAGGATACATTAATAGCTTCGTAACAGTCTCCGGCTGCTAGCTTTTGAATTCTGTTCCTATCGTTAGATTAGTATAGGTAGTTCTAGCTAGGAACAGGTTGCGTAGACTTCGAACGGAGTGTCTAAGGTTATCCTAATAGACTATAAACGGATAGAACTAGGTAGGAACACGAGCGATAAGCGGCTCTACACTATAGCTAATTTCTCGTAAGGAAAGCTAGACTACGCTCGGTATAAGCGCAACGTACTTATCTATGCCTTCGAAGGTTAAGACGATAATCTCGCATAGCTAACGATCCTTATCTAAGCTCGGAGGGTTTAACTAGACGTAAGCACGAGAGCCGCGAGGTATAGGTAGCAGGGCTATATGCTTAATATCTATCCTAGCTACTTCGATCTCCTTCTAGTCCCTTGCCTAAGTAATCTTAGAGATAGAGTTCTTAGGCCTAAGTAGTATGCTGTTAAAGGTCCTCCGATTAAGTCTATCTATAGAAGAGAGAATAAGATACATATCAATAGGCGCCGCTTTAAAACCTAACAAATTTTAGCTTCTAACGTTGCTACGGTAGATCTATTAGGCAGACTTACTTCGAATAATAGGCGCAGACACATTGTCAAACTTCCTAACTGCGTTAGCCTCCCTAAGCATCGCCGAGAGGACAATGTATAGGAGACTTTTAATATCGTAGACTAACTAGTCTCGAACTAGACGGGTAAAAGCGTCTAGCGCTCCTAGGCGGGACATTATAAGATGCGCTATAAGCTACGACACGAATGCTAACGCGGAGAAAGAAATTCCGCACTGCTATATACCTAACTAAAATTTCTTAGTATCGACATTTAGCGTTATAGCTATAGTACTACAAAAGCGCTCGCGCCCGCGAATTAATATTAAACGTCGGCTAGAATCTTGTAGTATACGTCTTGCTATTCTTATATAGGCTCTATACGCGTCGTTATAATTTCCTATAGGTGTCGGTATAATGCTTTTTATAGAGGGAATGCCGATAGTAAGATGTCCTTATCCTATACCTAGTGCTCGCATGCTTCGTCGCTACGTTAGAACTAAAACTCTATATTGTTCTTCTTAGATTTGTAAAACTACGGACCTAGCTTAAGGTCGTATAATATAGCAAGGTTATCGGGAGTCTTCTTCGCCTCTTAACATCTCGTAGCATCGCTAACAGGTACGACGATTAGCCTATCGCTAGTCTAGAGGAGCAAAACAACTTAACTCGCCTCCGCCTATCTATCGTTATCGGTAGTAATATCGAACTCTAGGACTAAGCCGTTACTATATGCGAGTTTACTAATATAGATAATGCGTAGCGCTAACACCCTCGTAAATGCACTAA